ACATTTCAGCTCACCTGAGCACAAAGTGATCAAGGTGAGCTATTGTGATGGCAAGTTGTCCATCGTCCGTGCGTGCGTGCGTCCGTACGTGCGTCCGTCAACAATTTCTTCAAACGATTTCTCCTCCTAACACGCTAAGCCAAATTCAATGAAACTTGGCAGGAATAGTCCTTGCATCAAGCTCTACCAAAGTTGTTCAAAGAATTCCATTTCATGAAGAACTCTGGTTGTCATGGCAACGAAAAGGCAAATCATAGTGAAATCTTTAAAAATATTCTTGTCCGAAACTGCAAGGCCTTGAGGTTTGATATTTGGTATGTGACATAATTTTGGTATGTGACATAATTTTGGGGTCCTATACTAAGATTGTTCAAATTATGCCCCTGGGGTAAAAATTGGCACCGTCCCGTGCCTGTGTTGGGACCCTGTCTCCAACCCGCTGGGGGGGGCCGGAGGTCCAGCACAAATATGGCGGTTTCATATAACACGCCATATGAAGTGGGCCTCATCGAGGGCCCCCCTCCCAGCAGACCGGAGACAGAGCCCCAAGGCTGATAAGTGACGATGGGATGATGACGATGATGATGATGATGGCACAGAGTGCATCACTAAAACCGTTCAATCACTGGGGGCTGGAAATGTAACCTTAATGCTTCAACGTTGAGATCCAGCTCCCTTGATGCATAATTCAGTGGAACATAAAATGATGAAATTTACCCCTGTGTGACGTTAAATCTTATTTTTAAAATTTGAACAACTGCGGTGCTATATACATATTTATAACAAACGGCACCTTCCCAGGACCATGTTAAAAAGAATGAGTAACTAATAACATATATACTATATTTACACTATAAAACAAGGGTGATTTTGCCACACAGGGGTAGTGATAAGATCATTGAAGATGAAGACATGGCCAGCTCTTGTTTCTCATGTTAAATTTAAAACTGACTTGGTCGTTGTTCCTTTCTACGGCCATTCTTCCCCTACCGCTGTTTCAAGTAGGGCAGTTGTCAGTTACTGGCGAATGTATCTGCTTAGTACTGGTTACCCGCTTACACCAGAGTGTAAGCATGCCCAGGAACGGTGCGTAGGTTAACTGACCGCTGTGATATGACTGAAATATACTGTTGAAAACGGCGTAAAACCCAAAAAACAATGGTCGTTGTTCCCTAGGTAACAGCATGACTTGACCAGAGGTTTGCGGTAGGGTATGTTCCACTCAGGTCAGTTCTGCATGCCCACCTGCATGTTAATTGTACATGGTGAGCCTGTTCCTTTAAAGTTTGGGGTTCAGGATGCTGTATGGTGGGTTTTTGGGGGAGGCCGATGCGAGGTTGCCGAGGCACGGAATACCATTCAGTTTTTCATTTTTTTATTTGTTTTATTCCTAGTTTTCCTATTTGGGTTTGTTCGAAATTTACGAAATTGGCGTAGGAGTCTGTGTGCTTCCTAAAGTGCCAGACACATATTCCTGGGGGGGGGGGGGCATTTTATAAATGGGGGACACCTCGGCACATATATTTAACAGGCCTGTGAGGTGCCTTATAATTAAGGGAGGGACAAGCATGGGGCCACCTGAGCGACAGGTCAGGTGTTCTTACTCCCATTTATAATGTTTAATATGTCAGAGGACAGAATGCTCTCAAAGAACTTGAATGGGGCCTTTAATGTTAGTGAGTGACTGGCACTGAAGTACATATTAGGAAGCACACAAGGCTCCTTGAGTAGACACTATGTCTAATAGACATTATTTAAATCTTACGGTATTATCATACCGGTAACCCATGACCAGCGGAGTCGCACAACCGGGACCTGGACAGTCCAAGCACACGCAGGGCGGCCCCACTGGCCATAGAATTATGTATTATTTCTATTTAAAACTATTTATTCATGACGTTCTAGTATAACATTATATCCGCATCCGTTAAAAATCGAAACAGTTCAGAGTTCGAGACCTATTCCATGTATCCGTAGTCCGCAGTACGCATCCGTATACGCATCCGCATCCGCAAGTCGAATCGCTCAGCGAGCGATTCGTTTGCGGATATGCGGATGCGGACCCTTTTTGCGGACAATTCTAATTACACCTAGTTAATTATTTTCAATTGAAATACATCAAAATTGGTATTTTTGTCCCTATTTATTGAATATTTACATAATATACATCTGCATACTTCTACTGTTTCATTTTTGTTAACTTTTCTTCTTGAAAACAAAATGCACGAACTCCCAAGCCAAACATTGGGCAAGATTTGCCCATGAAAAACAGACATTTATTTTAAAGATTCATAAATAAATTATATACCGACTGGTAAAGCTTGTCAGACGTTAGCATTTCAAATTGCAATGCTTTTTTAGTTCATTTACGTTCAAATGACTGTGTGGATTTCCATATAACCCAGAAAATAAACGCTAATCACTGTAAAATGAAAATTAAAGTAAAAAGCAGCATAAAATAAATGAAAACATACTTGAAATACTTATACTGTAATTAAAGGGTTAAGACAGAGGGCAGCTTAGACATTTTACTTACAAAAATGATTACGTATGCGGGTACATGGAATATGGCATAACTCTGCGGATACAGTTACTGATACGGGTGGCTACGGATGCGGGTGCGTATGCGTGTACAAGAAATAGACGGCATTCTCTAGAGGTCTTCTACCAAGGTTGTTCGAATATTGCCCCTGGGTTTAAAATTGGCCCTGCTCTGTCGACAGTATTTGGTACAAAAACGCTTAGTTTAACTATATAATTATTATATAGAGAAATTTTAAAAATATATATCTTTTTCTCTAAAACCACTTTGCTCAGAGCTTTGATATTTGTTATGTGACATTTTCGATTGAACTTTCGACTTTTGATGAATTAAACCTTGACCAAGTGACTTAATTTTGAAGCTTTTGCCTTTATTTTCCTTACAGTTATTACAGCTCAATCTGATTTTGGTGAAAAATACACTTTCGAAAAAAAATTGTTTCAAAAGTCGCTATTAAAGTATTAATGATTTTGTGAATTGTTTTCGGTTAATCTAAAACTACTGACCAAAGGATATTGAATTATATCGAAGAAATTGTATCGTAAAACAACTGAAAATGCATGGAAAATGGATTTCGCGTTAGATCTACTAACGCGATATTTTCGGCCTATTCCATTCCTATTCAATAAATAGGACAAAAATACCAAATTTTGGTGTATTTTAATTGAAAAATAAAAAATCTTGTTATTTTTTCGGATTGTATTTGATGTCATGCAATGTCCTCTGGTCAGTATTTTTAGATTAACCCAAACAATTCACAAAATCATTAATAGCGACTTTTGGAAACAATTTTTTTCGAAAGTGTATTTTCCACCAAAAATCAGATCGAGCTCCTTTAATCTGTAGATTTGAACATTTTAAATTTTATGGAGTTTATAGGTCTTTGACCTTCGAACTCTGCCTAGTCGTGACTTCTGGTGAGCGACCTAGGCCCCCAGGGCCCCTTCTTTATATCCCTTCCATCCACGTAGCATTGGTTTCTACAGACCGTTTGTCCGTTGACCGCCATAAGTTTGCCCGCTATTTTTCCCCTGAATTTGAATTCGGTTGGATTTCAATGAAACTTTACATGAAGTACTTGCTACTTTCATTGCGCATATTGCCCGGAAGTTCGGATTGTAAATTTTAGCGGAGCTATCAGACGAGTGATTTTAGCTCAGCTCATGTCGTGAGACATTCGTTTTCGACACGCGGTGTTCAATACAAGCTCTATTAACTAATGAAGTATAAATGTATAATAACTTATTATATTATTTCAGATGAAGGAAGCAATTAGGAGAAAAAGGAAGCAATTAGGGTGCTTGCCCAGGTCGAAGTACGACATTATTGTCAGATGTTTAAACGGATCGTTCGATGTCCCTGTGAAGAAACGGACACCTGAAGAGAATAATTGTTTGGCCATGATTAGAAAACGTAAGGACTTCGAGCTTGGTGACCGGGGTTATTTATTGTGTGGAGGAAAGCAAGTCCTTGTGAAAGAAGATCTTCCTAGATTTGTTGAGAAGATGTTCATGGAAAACAAAGGATGACGAGCAAGGGTTATTTACAACAAACTGAAAGTAAATTACACGGGGTTCTCGGAACAAGCTATCCTTGAAATACTGTACAATAGCAAGTATTACCATGAGAAGTATCCGAGATTTACAAACAAGCCAACGCCAAAGACAATTACAGAAGAGGAACCAGGCAAAAGATGGCAGATTGACATAATTAACATGAAAAATCAAAGTGTTAGCTACAAGGGGTCCACATACAGTTATATTCTACAAGTCGTGGACGTTTATTCTAGGTACGTTATGCCAAAACCCCTGAAAACGAAGAGTTCGCGTGAAGTTGCAAAGGCATAAGAGGACGTGTTGATGGTTAACCTTGCCCCTGACATCATCCAATGTGACAACGGACTGGAATTTAAAGGCCCTAGTATGAAACTTTTGTTGAACTAGTACAACATCAAAATGATCAATAGTAGGCCGTATCATCCTCAATCACAGGGCAAGTGTGAAAGGTCAAACAGTGTTATAAAGGCCAAGATTCTATTTGCAACAAAAAGTAAACGTGGATTTAACTGGGTCGAAGGGCTTCAAGATTTAGCCTATGCCATAAACACAAGTTTCAAACGAGTTCTTGGGGGTCTCACGCCCTTTGAAGCCTACTACGGAAGAAGTTATGTTTTTACCAAAGAACGTCATAGTTCTCGTGAAATAAAGAAAACCATACGGCGAGCAAATAAAAAAGCTTACAGGTCGCTGTTGAAAAACGCAACTTCCCCAAGCAAGTACAAAGTAGGAGAGACAGTATTAATTCGCTATCCCTTTCGAAAATCCAGGGTGCCAACCAAAAGATATGTTATCGAAGGCAAGGTAGAAAAAGTAAAACGAAATGGTGTTTATATCGTGTCATTTCAAGTACCGAACAAACCGAACTTGGATTCGTAAGCAAATCGGTTGGGGTCGAAAACATGACTAGCCTAACTGTTGCGTTAGAGAAACAACGAAAAATTAAAAAACATTTATTAAAACAGAACCGCTCAGAGAAACAAAATCACAGAACTAAGTACTATCATGTTTTAACACACCATGAAAATCTGCAGTTGTTGGATGGGGTGAATATTGCCATGGACCCAAATCCGGATGGAAATTGTCAATTTGCTGCTATATCGCATCAACTTGGTAAAATTGGTATATACAAAGACGTAGATGCTTTACGTAAGGAAGCAGTCCATCACATTGTAGAAAACAGATATTTCTATGAAACTTTTGTCTATGATGAAACATTTGATGAATACGTTAAGAATATGTCTAAGAATGGGACATACGGCGACAACCTCACGCTCATTGCACTTATGAGAGAATATAATTTGCAGTGCCTGGTAGTTTCTACCCGAGGACTAGAACACTCATCAATTGTGTCAGCAGATGGAAAGTTCGATGGTGATGTTGGAACAATTGCATTGGGGTATTTCCCAGAAGGATTTGGCATGCATTACGTTAGTATCCGTATCAATCAACGCGTGTACAAGGACATAATATCACGCTTAGAACAGGCGTATGAGAACGGTGACTCTGGCGACAGCGCTGCGTCTGGCGACAACGCTGCGTCTGGCGACAACGGTGACTCTGGCGACAACGGTGACTCCGGCGACACCGCTGCGTCTGGCGACAACACTGCATCTGGCGACAACGATGACTCTGGCGACAACGATGACTCTGGCGACAACGCTGCGTCTGGCGACAACGGTGACTCTGGCGACAACGGTGACTCCGGCGACAACGGTGACTCTGGCGACAACGGTGACTCCGGCGACAACGGTGACTCCGGCGACAACGGTGACTCCGGCGACAACGGTGACTCCGGCGACAACGGTGACTCCGGCGACAACGGTGACTCCGGCGACAACGGTGACTCTGGCGACAACGGTGACGTCTCTGTGTGTTCAGCCCTGAAAGAGCTTCAAGATATGATAAACAATAGGAGGGCACAGAGGCGAACGACTTTTCCATTTCTGATGTTACCACTTCACATTCAAGTTGAAATTTTAAAGTTCTGCATACAATCAAACCCGTCAATCCAGTTTGTGTTGGCGAAGGTCGGCAAACCCTTTAGAGATTTAATAAGGTCAATGAGTTTGCAAACACCTAGAATTTACATTCGGCTGGATATTGGACTAGATACTAGTAACAGAAATCCTGTTAGCGTTCGTTTCCTATTAACAAGAGCGGGCAGAAACAGCGGTCTTATTTCGGCAATAAAAGAAATCATCAAGGGGCCAAAATGGGCAAACGCATGGCTGCGTTTGCGCGTGTTAGTGGAATCGGTTGGTATGATATCATAGATGTCATGTACAGACATTACAGGTGAAATATACATGTATATCGGTGTTTGGAAACCTGTTATGTTATTTTTGTGATTGATGATTATGTTCTTCTACCGGAAATTTGTTGTCATTTGCTCATTTAATGGTAACTTTTTACGAAGCACATTTGGGATATTTTGGCTGCTACTAAAATGAATGTATATATGTATATTATGTCTGGTCAAAATGCTACAGTTGGATTAAAATTTAAATGCTGTTCTATGTTCTTCAATATTACTTTGAAAAATCCTGTCAGTATACCAATAAATGAAAAAAGTACAAGTTTGTTGAATCTCTTGAATGAAACAAATTATAAAATACAAAATGTAAAATGAATATGTGATGATGATGATGATGACAAAACGTTTTCGATGATGATGATGTTAAAAAAATTGTGATGATGGTGGTGGTGATGATGATGACAGTGGTTATGATGATTGGGGTTTGATGATTGTGAGGATGATGATGATAATGATGATGATGATGATGATAAAAACGTTTTGGGATGATGATGACAGCGATGTTTATCGGACGATGATGATGGTTATAATGATGATGATAAGATTTTAGATGATGATGACGGCGATGTTTATCGGCCGACGATGATGATAATGATGATGATGATAACAAAATATTTGTGATGATGATGATGGCGATGTTTATTGGCCGATGATGATGATGATATTCTCATCGTCGTCATCATCATCACAACATCCTCATTATCGACCGAAAACATCGCTGTCATTATCATCACAAAAAAAACTTTTGTGATCACCATTACGATCATGATAATGGATATGATGATGTTGGTTTTGATGGTGATGATGATGGTGGTGTTGGGGAAGATAACAACGATGATGATCATTGGGGTGTTGATAATTGATGTGATGATGATGATGATGATGATAACAAACGTATTTGGATGATTATGACAGCGATGTTTATCAGTCGATGATGATTATTATAATGATGATGATTATGATGACAAATGTGTTTTGATGATGCTGACGGCGATTTTTATCGGTAGATTATGATGATGATGATGTGCTGACCGTCGTTATCATCATTACAAAACTTTTGTCATCATCATCACCATCGACCGAAAAACATCGCAGTTATCATCATCACATTTTTGTGATCTTCATTACGATGATGATAATGGTGATGATGATGATGGTGTTGATGATGATGATGACCTTGATGATTGTGGTGATAATGATGGTAATGATGATGACAATGATGATAAAAGTTTGTGATGATGATGATGACGGTAATTTGATCGTCGTCATCATCATCAAAACTTTTGTCATCATCATGACGATGATGATGATAATGGCGTTAATGGTGACGATGATGATGATGGTGTTAATGGTGACGATGATGATGTAATTGATGATGATGACAATGGTGATGATGATTGGGGTTTGATGATTGTGATGATGATAACTGCGATGTTTATCGGCCGATGTAATGATTATAATGATGATGATGAAAAAAGTTTTTTATTATGTTGACGCCAATGATTACCGGCCGCCGATGATGATGATTATGATGATGATGATGATGATGCTGATGATGATGATGATGATGACGATGATGATTATTTTCATGATGGTATTGATGACGTTGATGCAAATTGTAGTGATGATGATGATGATGATGATGATGATGATGACGATGACGAAGATGATGGTGATGATGATGATGATGATGATGAGAGGACGATGATGATTATTTTCATGATGGTATTGATGACGTTGATGCAAATTGTAGTTATGATGATGATTATGATGATGGTGATGATGATGATGATGATGATGATGATGATGATGATGATGATGATAATGATGATGATGGTGATGATGATGAGATAACGATGATGATGACGATGATGAGTGTGTACCAATTTCGGAACGAATGTGGTACATTTTTCATCCGAATATGGTACAAGTTTGTACCATATTTGGTCAGGCATTTTATCCCAAAACTGCAGATACGTATATGGTACAATTAGACAGTTGTACCATATTCGGCCGAATATGGTACAAATTTGTACCATATTCGTTTTTGTACCAAATACGGTCCGACATAGCTTTACACCTCTTGTAAATTAATTATAACAAAAGCAATGTGGCGCATATTTGCGTGATTTTGTAATTTCTAATATTCAAGGTCGTTCATCATCTAGACAATTGAAAAATGTTTCAGCCACCACAGAATAATGGTTGTTTAGTCTTGTGTATTCTTCAAGCTGTACAATCTTATTATAAAAAGGAAATAAAAGTAAAAATTCTTATATGTCTATTCTTATCCAGCTCATGGGTCACAAACGTGTCTGTTTAAACGTTCATTTTATCAACAATTTATTCATAACTTTTATTTGATATTACAGACAATTTTTTGCTACATATTTGTAAAAAAAAAACAGAACAGTTCGTCCTCAAAATCATTCGGACATTATGCAATTCGCACCAATATTTAAATGGACGTGTTCTCGGCGCAACGGAGATGTTTTTCTTTACGTCTGTCTTTCTCTTGAATTTTGTTGCGACAAAGATTGAAAAGTCTGATCGAAGCAAAATTTATTGGATAACAAGTGAAATGAAATGGTCGGTATACTTAAAGACAAACATTTTAGAATTTCAGACATGGCATAACTTTGTACATTTATGCATTAGGTTCTACTTTTTCACAAAAATATGCAACTAAATTATTAAACAACGAGCACATACCATGAGCATGAAGAAAAGTAATCAATGCTTTGGATATCCAACCTTAATAGAAAACATGTATTTTGTACATCACCTGTGACTGTTCACATCATTTGGCGGCGTCTTTGATGTGCAGCATCGACATTTCACTTGTTTCAAATAAGATATTGGAAAATGTATTGCACACAATTGATTTCATTGCGGTATAATCAGTATAACTCTGATAATGGCGTATCTTTTCTAACACTAGTAAACGAGTTTGTGGTGGTGGTGGTGTTGGTACTTTTCATTTCGGATCACGGCAGTAAGCCACATTAAATTTACAAGAGCACAGTTTAGCCATTGCATCGTTCCTGGGCAGGCTGTCAATCAGTTTACCAGTACAAGTTGCCTACACTTAAGCAAGGAACTGATTATTTCTGTACATGCAAGAGCAGAGGTACAGTGCGAATGGCCGTAGAAATGATTCCATGATCAATCACGACGAAAGTGACCTGCGCCGTCCGGAATCGAAACTGGGTCGCCCGATTCACACTTCAACGCCCTACCTTTTGAGCTGATTGGACGCTTATAATAAACGTTTTAAGACTGGCAGAAATAAATGCTGCGCGAGCTTGATCCATTTTGTGACTTCGTTACTTCTGCAAGCACAATCGTATAGAAAATATTTCAAACTATTGCATAAGATTATATTATTACTAAGAATATATACTTTATGAAAAATGCAGCAAAGGCTAGAAACTATGCCATTGGGGCATTCTGCAACCGTTAAAGACACGGCCATGTGTTTTATATTGCTTCCTCAGCCAATCATAATTTTGTATTTTTACAAATTCGCCACACACGTAAGGGATACCTCCAAGCAAAACATGTGCCAGACGTTCACAGGGTTAGTGATAGCGGGGCTGTGTATTAAGTGTTGTCTGAATATAACATATTTTTATAGTTTCAAGACTGGAAACAATAGCGCGTCCATAAGTTGTAAATAGTCAATGATCCTTTAAATGCTAAAAAAAGTGAGTAGTGATGGCCTAACTTTTAAAGCGTTTGCTCTCTACCCAGTGATCATGAGTTTGAGTCCTAATCGGGTCACGACTATGCTTCATCATATGACACCAGTTGGTTGGTTCCAGTGAGTGGCCTCGAAAGTGATTAATATAATTATGCTGTCAGAACTTGTTTCGCAATCGAGCTTAAATAAACATGATTCACGTTTGTGACCACTATAGCGCCGGGCTAGCCTTCATTACGTCAGTTACATCTTACCAGACAGCAGCTGTATTTTGATATCAAAATCACTTGAATGAACTATTTGAAATTGAATCCTTAGAAAATTCATTTTACAAATTAAGCAGCTTATGGGTTTGCAGTGAAAATGTGGCTATTTATCATAATGTACGTGTTAGTTAAAACATATTGTTTAAGCTCGATTGCGAAAAAAGTTCTTGCAACTTATATTGATCACTTTGGAGTCCGCTTCCTGAACCCAACCAGTACTGGTGTCATAGGAAAATGCATGGTCTTTCCCCGATCGGGGCTCGAACCCGCGGTCCCTTGGTTGGTTGAAAGACAGACATATGAGTCACTAGGCCACCGCTCACCCTATAATTTGACATTACATTTTGATTATTGAACTGTTGCAGAGTCCTGCATTAAGCTTTAAGTGTGAGTGCTTTTCTACAGAATATTAAGGGAAAGAAAAATTATGTTAACAACATTTTAAGACTTTTCGGTAGTTTTCATACAGACACATAGGCAAACTTAAAACTGTTCAATAGAATTTTATTAAACATTGTCATGTTGTTATAATAAAAGAAACAATTTAAACGGGAAAAATTATACAGATGGCAGTTCCTGCCTTAATTGATGACACAGGTTAATCAATAACAGTTCAACAGGTTAACTAACGGTTCAAAAGATCAAAGGTTAATAAGACAAAGAAAATACGGACTGCGATCATTTGGGCATTAATGTACATGTGAACGTCGCTATTTCGGCAATGGCCTCACTTACACACCATACATACTTGATTGAACACACACACGCGCGAAACACTTGTAACGATTATGACATCATTTTGTAAAACAATATTTTAACACCACCTTAATAATCGCCCTGCATATTCATATTCAATAAATTGTTATCGATTCGAGCACTAGAAATCTAGTGCATTTGTTTATTACATAGTTTATGGCCGAAGTTCCTGTTCTTGGCCAAAATTCTTATATTCTTCTATGAATAACAATCAGCATAATCGCTTGAGTATCTGCGCTTGGGTATCTGAATAGTGTTGACTCGATACTGAATAAAATAGGTTCAATTATTTTACATATCAAACAGACTCTTTAATTAATTCCAGTGGCTTTTCTTGAACACCATACATCGTTTCCATTAGTGACCGAGATTTACGAAATTCTCGTGCTGAAATTGTATACACAAATGAGTAAGGCAAAGGCTATTTTTCTTTGTTTTTGGTCAGAAGAATGGACAGTTAAGTTTTCGCCTGTGCATAATATACATTGTATCTGGTAATACATATATATATATACTGCCATATTAACAGGCAGCGCGACATATACAAATGTACAGAAATAATTAAAAATAATGTATTTTATTTGGCCTTAATACTAAAAATAGATTGTAAAATCGTGTCCAGAAACAAATGAACTACATTACCGGGCCTGAATTTTGATTTTCACTTATTTAGTGAGTGGTGTGTATCAGCGTTCGTGCAGTTGATACGAAAAGATGACTTACTTAAAATCTTGTATGATTTTTATTTTGTTGTCGAAGTTTGTTGAAACAAAGATATCTCCAGATGTAAGATGTGCTGTGAATGGGGACGTGTATCTCCGAAAGAGCTCGCAAGGATCGAACTTGACGTCCAGGAGCTTGGAATATATATTTGCCAGCTCAGAGAAAACGGTCTGTGACCATCAAGTAGCAGGAGATGTTTTAAAGATACATGGATGTGTGCAGGTATATTTTTCCAAATTGCTTTACAAATATATTTTTTGGATTTTCAAAAGATTTAAGGTCTCAAATATGAGTTGAATCATTCGTGCTAGTTTTAATATCAGCTGTTCATTTATTCTGCTGAATGTCGTGTTACTTTTCATATCAGTTGTTCATTTATTCTGTAACGAATGTCGTGCTTAATGTCGTGCATGTTTTTATATCAACTGTTTATTTATTCTGTAACGAATGCGGTGCTGAATGTCGTGCCAGTTTCTATATTCACTGTCCAGTTATCCTGTTACGAATATCGTGCTGAAAGTCGTGCTAGCTCACGTATCAACTGGTCAATTATACTGTTACGGGTGTCGTGCTGTCGTGTGATGTCGTGAACGCCACTAGGCTCTACACGTCAGTTCAACCGTCAATAACCTTACTGTTGTGCCAGCAAAACAATCTCTATGTCGGCATTGAGAAAAAGAATGTCATGTTCAACTCTTACGTAATTCACGGAATTGTATTAAAAAGCTATGCGAAGCAAAATCATTAAATTTATTATTAAGTAACTGTTTTAGTCAGAAAACGGTCCATAACTCAGGAACATAAAAAGTTGCAGTTATAAATGTACTCCATCATGTATCAGACATTACAAAAAAAATACATATAACATTTTTATTGTCCACGAAAATGTCGCATATACTAATATAACTATATACTTTTTACTTTACATTAGTAAAGGTGAATTCCATTCGAAATCGTGTTGATCACTGAAGTGCAAGATCTGTTTGCCATGCTTCATGTTTTCTTTACTTTTTTTTTATATATTTGTGCAAATTTATAAGTTTTGAAACTAAACTTTATGATGGAAATTAACTCAAAACAGAAACCTGACTTTCTAAAGGAGAAAACTGATATGAATATGACATTCTGATGCCAGAGTTGTCTCCCTTCTAATAAACTGCATTAATGAATACAGGATTTCGCGTAATGTGTATTATATTAACCAACTAAATACTTGTTGCGTACTTGCTTAGTTTATATATGGAATTGATGGAGGTAAATCTGCGAGCCAATGAGAAAATTTTATTCTCAAGAGCAATGTATGAAATTTTAATAGAAATCTCATGTGTGCTAAGTTTTCTGTACAGCATTAGCTATCGGTAAATTGTTTTATTGTCTATTTCTTGGTAAATTTTTATTCCGCCTTGATCATGCATAGCTTCATATTTCCCCCATTTCTTTCTTTCTTTCTTTCTTTCATTCTTTTTGTCTTTGACTTTTATCTGTAGACGTAAATACAATTTTTTTAATAAAATTACCAATACCTAATAACTGTAGAAAGTTTGAAAAGTATATAAAAATGCTATTATTAACTATGTATAAAATACCGACAGTCATTTTTTGCAAATATTTAAGTCAAAAAGTAAAAATTAAAATCGTTTCTTGTACAAGTTTTAATGATTATTTTTTTCAGCCAGGTGTTTCTTCACACGTGGACGTTTTCCTGCATGGCGGCTCAGATTCTAGCTTACATATTTACAGAATAAATTGCTTACCTCTAGTGAGTACTCGTCACCATGAAACTTACCAAGCTGCTGATCTAAGCGGGAAAGATAGCGAATATCTTACTTACCAAGAACCTATTGTTGGCCAACGTCGTCGTAAAGATGTCTCGGGTGATGTTAACGCGGGGAATGACGACGACGACGATATAAAGAACCTCCAGACGTCGGTCTCGTTTGAAGTGAAGCTCAACTTCAGCAGTAACGGTATGGGCAATCTTTAACCTTTCTAAATCTGTGACATGTTCAGCTTGAATTTGGACTATTTTATTGATAGTAATTTCATGGTTGTCTTTTTAAGGAATTTTTATATTAACATGTACAATTAAAGCTTTGAGGATTTGAGTGTTGTAATATAAGCTTATAACTTCCACACAATCGAACCAAAATAAAAAATTATAAACTAACTACTTAAATAAAAGCTCAATTTGAGTAGACTGTTAATACAAGGAAACCCCCCTAAATTTTTCTTGGTATGTTCCTTATTTAAAGCTGGACGAATCCATTACATGAATGTAGTATGTATCGCTAGATTATTGAACTATTGAGCAAGTCGTTCCATTCAGAAAATAAGATACATGTTTTTTACAACTGCCGTATGATTATTGTCAACCTTGAAACGTCAAGCGACTAAGTCCAGCCCCTCTTCTCGAACAAGGCTGTGAACTGGACAAAAAATTCAATGTGCATTACAAGTGGATTAACTGATGTTTGAAAAGGTTAGTTTTCTATGTGACCAGGTAAAAGAGAGAAATAGTAAAATATTGGGTTAGACAGAGTACTGAGAAATCCCATGCCTTGTTCCCGACCTGGGTGATAATTATGTTAGACATATGTAACTCAACCTGGTCACACTGCATAGATATTATGATGACAAAGTATTATCACTTAAAGGATAAGCATCGAGGACCAGACAATAATATAATCATTTGAGCCATGTCACGACAAAACCTACATAATGGGTTTGCGACCAGCTTGGATCGAAACCAGCCTGCGCATCCGCGCAGTCTGATCAGGACCCATGCTGTTCGCTATCATTTTCTTTACTTGTAATAGGGTTTGTAAGCGAACAGCATGGATCTTGATCAGACGGCGCGGATGCGCAGGCTGGTCTGGATCCAAGCTGGTCGCAAACCCATTATGTTGGTTTTGTCTTGACACGGCTCATTTTAAGTTGATAATCGATTGATTTTATATCTACATGTATATGATTTTTGGCGGGTAAAAATATTCAATGATTTCTTTTCTTTCTTTTCAGATGAAATTTCCATCGCCTGCAATCCAGACAACCTTGGTATTTTGTACGTCAGTAACCCTGACCCAGATCAACTGATTTACGTTGTATCATTTTCCGAATTGACAAAACAAAAATGCAATTCTGAGTTCCTGGAAGGTAGACGTTTTGTTGCCGTCGGCGGATGTAGTTTGGTAAGCTGTTTAACCCATTACCCTGCTGAATTATTAAAATAGACTCATCCAGCGTCCATTCTGGAACAGTCCATATCAATTGCGGGGATATCAAGAGATGAGTTCGATTTCAATTCTATTCGTTTATTCATTGAAATCACATTTTCATATGAATATAAACAGCTAACAAAACAACAATATCTTCACCAAACATAGGTCATAAGATATTACGTGAACAATTACAAGATTGATACAATTTCAATACTTAATGAGTTACGCTATATGCCATTGTTGTTATACTGCTGTAAAGTAGAAAATAACGAAATGAGAGAATGATGTCAAAATGTGACGTTTGTCTGGAAAATGTATAGAGTGCCTAAAATAATGCAAGAGAAGTGCGGGTGGATTAGGGTCACCTTATTTCTTTCACCTCCAGTTAAGCTGAAAACTCCTTATGACATTGTGTCTGTGAGATTCGATTTATTGTGCAAGTGTATGTTGAACAACACTTTGCAGATCCGAATTTTAATGCTTCCCGGACAAAATATAATTTAATTGTCCGTCCGTATGAGGTTAACCTTAACCGACATGTTGGATATATCCTAAGTTCTAAAAATACCATTTGCTTTATAATACATGATTTTGGCAAAATACATAAATATGGCTTTCACCTCCCTTCCCTCCCCCCACCCCGCGCCCCAAATTATTTCCCTTTATCACATTCTGGTATGACAAACCTATTAAGGTTAGTCGGATCTGTCTTAAGTTTCTCCTATTGACCGATATCTTCCATATTTTTTATGAAAATCAATAGATCACTGAGGTCAAGGTCACTGGTGCTAAAATATATATTTTACTCTATTTCCTTTACAGACTTTTTATTCACTTACACGTCCTGTAGGGACATATAGCTTTGGGTGAAGTTTATGGTCACCGAGTTCAAGGTCACCGATGCTTGTAATATTTTTTTACAATATTGCTTCTTTAGCATTTATTTATTGACTTGTGTCTCTTATATACTCGGTTCCAAAAGAAAGTGTTCACTTTTAAATATTAAATATTTAGAAAATTAGCAGACGTTTCTTTTGCAAATTTGGCATTGTTAGTCCTAAGTACACAATACATCAATCCAATGTAAAACCTATCCCGTGCTGGCACGGAATTTTCGCTTTATATGGCAATGCATAATATAGCATAATTTGCACGTGCAGTCCGAGGCGAAGGTACATGTCATAGGAACTGTGTATAGAAATAATCCTTATACCCACTACATAGGGAAAAAACACATTTGATTTCACAGCGCTTGCCACTGAACATGCCTAGACTGAATCAAAATCAGGGAATTCAAGCATTAACGATGCTTGCTCGTGGCGACAACGTCTCCAACGTCAGTAGAGCGTTCGGTTGTCACAGAAACACAATTTTTCGGTTGCGCCAGCGTTTCCAGCAAACAGACGGGATAGCAGATCGCCCTAGACCCGGTAGACCGAGGGTTACAAACCCTTGAACGGACAGGTTCATTACGTTGACGCACCCTCGACGTCGTTTTCAAACGGCGACAAGTTCTGCAAGGCAGTGTGGTATCAGGAAACAGACAGTGTTGCGCCGCCTCAGGCAAGCCCGGCAACCAATTCGGCCGAGGAGGCCCTGTGTGGGACAAGTGCTTACAGCACGTCATCGAGCTGCCCGTTTGCAGTGGGCACAACCAGGGGCGTACCTAGAGGTATTTGAAGAATACGCCTATAAAAGTTGGGGGCCAGGGGGCCGCTAGGGCCCCCGGTGGGTCGAGGGCAAAGCCCTGGCCAGGGGTTCAGGGGGCCGGAGGCCCCCGAAAAAATTTGATTAAGTATCATTTTAAAAGGCTGAAATGCCATAAAATAGCTTCTCAAATGTCTTTCCCTGACTAAAACTTAACCAATATAAAAAACTCAAAAGTAATAAACGTATGACAACAAACGATTAGATTTTATTCCTTCTTCATTACTATTTACTATATATTAATTCATTCATTCTTTTTTATTATAATTTTTATGTTTTTATTTATTTATTTATTCATTTACATCTCTATTATAATCTACACTTTAAATATCAAAGCCAGTCTTCTTTCTTTTTTAGCCGCAAAAATATCGACAATACGTTCAGCATCAAGCTTCTTTTCCTGGTAAATGTTCAGAAGTCCCAAGCCGGACAGCCTCTCAGTTGTCATGGTTGACCTGAGGTATGATTTAACTCTACGCATTGTAGAGAACAATCTCTCTGCAGTAGCGGTAGAGACCGGGACTACCATAAGAAGTGCCAAGCATTTCCTGATACTTGGATACAATGCTTCACTTGTAACTTTTAATGAATCCGTTTTCTGGAGTCGTTTCTCGTTGGGCAGTTAGTGTTGGATCAGTCCACCACGTCCTCCACAAGACACATTCACGGAGGAATGTATCTTCGTCAACAATTTTACATCCAAGCATGTCTGTAGACCCCTGTATAGTTCTCAGCACTGTAATACAGGAAGACCAGACTTTGAAACCTATAAAATAATCGATAATTTCAATATTACAATTTAAGCAAAGAATCAATTCTTTAAATGAAATAATGTTAAAAGAAGAATTCATCGTTATATATGTAGTAGTAATGGATTCAATGAGCATTTTCAAATATGCAGTACATGTCTTAGTTATCAAGAATAAAGTTGATTTAAACATGTTTACAAATTATCATGAAAGCTTCTATATAATGTGATAAAGTATTTGTCAAAATATATGTCGACATACAATTTCTCTCAGCATCACTCAGTACTGTTTACGGAAGCGTATCAGGGCCTTCACTTATCTAAAAGTTTCACGTCATGTCAACTCGTTACTTCTCGTTTTGACCAAAAACATTCCATGAAGACGTTATGATTAATACGTAATACATAAAACATTCCACGAAAACGTTATGATTAATACGTAATACGTAGAAGTTTTTAATCATTGCAAAAAAAACTTTGCTGAATTACGTGTTCTATTTGTCAATGCGAGTAACGTCTTTGCGTCTTACTAAATATTTCAGCAAAGTCGTGAAATCAAGAAGTTTCGACAGGATTTTTGTCGAAGAGACAAACGTTACAAGCATATCGAGAAAATTCAGTTGCAATGTCTAAAAGCTTCTCATCTTTGTCAGTAAATTTTATTGAGAAATGCAAAAACATCTTAGCAATGCGAATAAAAATAAGTCGACTTAGCGCAAAACATTTCACCAACTGTAGGCCCTGATACGCTTCCGTAACTGTTAACACAACGAAACATATAAAATGCCCAATTTCATACAATATTTTTTATTAAAATGCTAACTGGAGAGATACTGGGTTTTATTGGTGAATTAAAATCCACATCACCAACAGTATAATTATCATTCACACTGTGACCGAACTTGTTTTGGTGTACGCTTCAATTTTCATGATTTCAAAAAATTTGTAAATTAACTTGTTAATGGTACGGAAGCTTATCAGGGCCTACAGTTGATAAGATGTTTTACGCTAAGTTACCTTATTTTTATTCGCATTGATAAGATGTTTTTGAATTTCTCAATAAAATTTACTGACAAAGATGAGAAGATTTAAGGCATTGCAACTGAACTTTTCTCGATATGCTCTCCGACAAAAATCCTGTCGAAGCTTCGTGATTTCACGACCTTGCTGAAATATTTAGTAAGACGCAATGACGTTTACTCGCATTGACAAATAGCTCAGGTAATTCAACAAAAGTTTTTTGGGAATGATTAAAAACTTCTACGTATTACGTATTTATCATATAACGTCTTCATGGAATGTTTTTGGTCAAAACAAGAAGAAACAAGTTGACGTGACGTAAAACTTTTACATACGTGGGGGCCCTGATAAGCTTCGGTAATCGATTCAAATGTCATTATTTCTCTAAAAAAGTTAAACGTTTCACCACAATGTTAACTATAAGCTTTATTTCGTTTGTTTGAATAGCGTTTTTCGCACATTGAATGTCTGACGAGCGTCGTTCAAATCAGTAATTGAAAATTGAGTTTTTTCTACATTTTAAGGCATCTTGAAAAGAAAATGTGTTAGTTTCTAATGAATATGCTATTTATCACACATAAAAGTGAAAAAATATTCCCATTTTCACACGTGCTATATTGCAATTTTCTGATTTCTGAAAATAGAAAACACGGGACACAAAAGACCCCATCCAGCTTCACAGAATAACTCAGCCAGATATAAGACGTAAACCAATTAAGCCGGTTGTTGCGTCCTAAATCTTCCACTAGCATACCTGAATGTTAAAAAATTATTGAGAGTAAAATTTTTTTACCGAATTATAAAACTAAAAAAAGACAAGAATGTCATTGAAAATTAAAATTATCATATTAAGATCTAAATTCTACTTATGCAAAATAAATTTGTATTTAAAAAAAATATAATAAAGAAAAAAAATCACGCAGAAAGGTTTTGAACTGACAGCTGAATTCTTTGTTAACCACTGAGCTATATAGCCATTAATATAATTCGGTTGATATTAAGTATATAATATTATATAGTCGTCAGATGACATTAAAATATTCGGCCGTATATTAATGTAATTGTTCTCCATACATGTTAGGCCACGCTAATCATTTAAATCTCAAATGAATATTTTTACGCGATAATTTGGATAAAGCTACTTTTTGATTATTTATATAATTCTAGGTAGAATGAAAAGCTAGAATCTACCTTGATGGGAATATAAAGGCCTGCACATCATTCCATGGTTGAGTCAAAAGAACGAGCTTCTTGTTAACTTCTTTGAATCTTTCTCCATCTCCAAAAGGATGAGGATAGGGCGGAATAAAATCTCCATCTTTAAAAGACATTTTAAAATTCCCGCCTTGAAAACTTGTAGCGCTAAACATTCATTCGGATCCCGAATAGAAACAACGATAAAAATCATCCTCGCTAGAGTTGCTTCCCGTTGACAAAGTAGAACTGCCGAGTACCGTATTTACGGTATAAACCGTATTTACGGTATAAGGCTACTTGAAATCTATACGTTTATTTCTTACTTCACAGGATCGATCTAGTCAGTTTTGATCGATTCGAGTAAGCTAAAATTTCAAAGGACCTACACTATGCCCCTTGATTTTTATTCCATTTTTGGAATTTTTAACTTTATAAATTTTTTGAATTTTGCTTGAATTTATACGCCCGGGCGTATTGGCGTATCGGTAGGTACGCCCCTGACAACGTCATTTCCGTTGGGGGTGACCTAGTACATTCTCGAGACAAAATTGTATCCTAATGACACTGGAATTTAAAGTTTATGTTATACTATGTTGGTTTTGTCATGACACGGCTCATTTCATGAATGTCTTGGAGGTCTGAAACTGTTCAAGGCTAACATCTCTTTTTGTTTAATCCTACATCATCCAGACTCTTGTGTAATGTTAAGCGGTGTGTTGTTCTACTGACAGTCCTTGTTAATGAATGTATGCTTATACAAATCAAAAACTTATAAACTTTACAAGTCGTCAACAAATTGAATCAATTTTTATTCACAAAGTAAGGATTATCGTGTTTTCCTTTGGTGTAAGTTACAATTTTTTTTTCTTTTTCAGAATTTTCCAATCACCATTTCATTCAATAGCAATGATCTTTCATCGGTCATTGGAGGCGCTTATTTCAAGGTTTATAACGTCACGTGCTCGGATAAGGCTTCCGTAGCACGTGGTAATGTCTTCCCAGACAGATATAACACACCGGGAAGCCACGGTACTGATCAATGTAGATATTCATTCTTTGTTACCATGGTGATGTTGGCAATAACGTTGATGAACCAACTTATTTAAACAGGAAACAGACGAACCGGAAATTCTCTCACACGGCGCATATGTAAAAAAATCATCTTTTGAATTAATAGCTCATATGCAATATTTTGAATAAAGACAAATGTATAAGACATTCGTTGTAATTTGAACAGTTTGATTTATAAATGTGCGTTTTTTGTACACTTATACCTATACAAAATTTTGGGGAGTTACAATTGAACTTGATAGTGCTTTATTCATGTTATCAATACTTGATGACACTAGTTAGATATGCTTTCTATCTAAATACACGTATTAAAATATCGCGAGCAATATACATGTATGTCTTTTCATTCATTCCTTAAAGGTTTTTCTAAAAGATCAAAAGATGTACTATTTACTCAGTGTTTTGTTTACAAATAAAGAAATTTGTAAGAATATTATGAATGTACTTGTATTTAATTGGGGTAGATTTTTCTCGGCAAGTTAGGTAAGATCCAGAAAGGCGACAAGTGTGATGTGTTCATCGTGTTTTGGATCAAGACAATGGCCATATATAAATTTTATTGTATATCTTCAACGTAACGAAAGGTTGTGTAATTTAGTCAGCAACGTCATTCTGTCTATACAACACATGTATTCCTTCCGCTGTGGGTTCGAATCCCTAGTAGGTCTTTGGATTTATCCATTTGAGGAAGCTATCCAGCTAGCTTTTGAAACGTAGGTGGTTCTATTCAGAGGCCTGAAATAATACACGGAATGACACCCAAGGTCTTCTTTCATCAATAAAACTTTGGAGTCGCCATATGGCCTATACTGTGTTGGCACGACGTAAAACACAATTGAAAACATAGCAAACTATGTAAGGTTATATAACAATAAAACAAGTTTATGATGTACTTGACTTTCGAATTCATTTACTTATAGCCTTCTATCCCCAAAAATATTTGAGACATGAACTCAACTGTTTCAACTTCCGCTTGTGAGCAATTTGTCGTAGATGTTTTTGGAATACACGTTCAACAATTAAATTGTCCTACATAATCGCATTTATGGCATTAATAAAGTAAATGAATAATAAAGAACTGGTCCGTTACTATTACTATAAGGGTAGGCTGTAAATATTGGGTAAAATATTTAAGGTAATCATCAGTACATGAAGTGTACACGTACAAAAAAACAACAAAGAAAAAAACAAAAACACTCGAGCATTCATTTAGAGATTGAAAAAAATAGTTTCCGTGCTCGTGGCTGACTTGCCCTGTAATTATAATGAAGAGCGTACATGATTATCATTGGTATATCAATAAAAAAAAAAGCTTCAGTACACAATTTTAGAAGAAGTGAATAGTTATAGTCTTAAGTTAATTTCGCTTGAGACTGCCTTTATATGAGAAAAATGCTTTAAAAATGGCTTATTAAACAAAAGTTGGTCAGTGATCTATATAATGACAGTGATTTATTTGTATGAATTGTATGAATTCTAGCTTTATCAAAGTTTTTAAATGTCGTTCCTGAAAACTTTACATTTAGAAAATTAACACTTTTTGTAAATCAAAACGAGGTGGGTGCTGAAAAAATACAACTTTTGCCAAGTCTGAATATTCCAAAATATATACAAATTAATTGAGGTCGCTAATCCATACTAAATATAAAGTAGTCGTTATACAGCCTACAATTATAGATATATAGAAAAAAAAGTAGAAAAGAACGTTTATTATCGCATCCTGTGATTTTACAGCAAAACTTGATACATTATCAATTAGACATTTAGAATTCCTTTTCTAAATACACTTCATTTTTTGTGCAATTTAGCATCAAAATTTATATGTTTTACCATTTAAACCAGCAATTCAAACAATTCCTGTTACAGTATACCTTCATTGATGTGTATCTTCACAATCCGCTGTTAATTGTTAATGTTTTACCGCATAAACTTGGAAAACTACACCTAATATGTACATTGAAAAAGGGTAAAAGCAGCATTGTACCCATACAGTGAACAAAATCTTTGTTTTGCTCACTAGCGGAAGTACAATAACGTATGTAGTAGATACAGTCGGATGCAAAAAAATCCACGAGGAACCGTATGGGAATGGATTTAAAATCATGCAACGACCGCATCTATCGCAACATGGACCAGTGGTTGAACAGGTATAAATCAGTATTTTTAATCCGATAAATAAATGCAATTAAATAGTACGTGTGCATCTTGGTGAACTATATTTTATCTAGGGGCCTAGATTTTAACTGAACTACCTCGGTTAAAATACAGGCCTTTAAATAAGAGTTTAAGAATGATATTTGTTTATTTTAGAAGGCGAATAGTTTTATAAACAATGTGTAATAGTCCTTTATTTTCAGTGTCATTTCCTTTCTGATTTTTTTCTGTCATTAGAAAATGTATTTTTCTAAAAAAAAAATAAATGCAAATTTATTCACAAACGAATCTGTTATTATTAAACCCACAATATATATTTGCATCAATAAATACATTGATCCTGATTTTCAAAATAAGATTTAAAATAAATTGTCTGGCCTAAATGGGACTATATGACCATTATTTATAGGGAAGTGAATTAGTTAATGTGTATCAGTCGTTGGGTGTTATTATACTGTAACAGTAGTCGGATAGAAATTTGTCAAGATGGCGGTAAATCCGGATCTACAAAAGGAAAGAGCAGCCGCAACCTTTGACACAGAGAAGCTTACTGCAGTTCTTTATGGCGGGAAGAAAATGGTGCAACGTCGAAGATATTTACGTGAGTTTTATCATGAACTTATTATTTATATAAATGGACGCTTTGTTTCTCTCGTGCAATATTACAGCCAATCAGAATCACGCTACTGCTAATAAAAGTGTTATTTGCTTTGATATAATTTATATTATTTCACACTTTATGAAATTTGATAAATGCATTTTTAGCATTTGCATCACGTGGTGTTCAATTGGATCCATTTTGATCACTTTAGTCTCGTTTTTAGAATCCAAAAAGTCGATATCAAATCCATATCGCACTCTATATAGCCACGTTTTGATTTTTTAGAGTCCAACATATCTATTAAATTCATATCATAGTCCATCCAAGAATTTTTAATCTCAAATATTTCTCGAGGGCAATAATAGTATAAGGAATATATCATTTTGTTAACATTGTTGATATAAAATAAAATAAATATGTGATTCTGAAAGCAATAAATTCGGAGTGGCTACACATTCTGAATCAACTTTAAATCATGACAAAAAACAACATAAGTGTGTTAGAGTAAGGAGACATGAGCTAAATTCAATATAAATTGATAAAAAAAAAAACGAAATGATAACACATATTTGAAGTAGAAATTAATGATCTTCCACCGGAAATTGCGTCATACACAACGTGGTATGCTACCACATAAAAATTATGACGGCAATCAAACTGCAAATGTCACCAAAGTTAGATGGAAATGTAATCTTATTTTTTACTTATTTTTAATTCACTTTTTAATCTATTTTCCTCAAGGCAATAGTTTCCGTCTTATCAGTATTAGATAAAGCACTGATAGGCCACCATAGCACAGTAAAAACTCTCTAAACCGGAAATGCGGATTCTCATTTGGCAATTAAATTTACTATACGTACAATTTGTATAGCATGGCACTGCAGTAAAACCAAATCTTTTTGGATCACAGATTTACATTTATGCGCGAGAGTCCATAATGTGGTCTGTGATGCTTAGGAGCGGACGACAACCCGTTCAGTAGCTAGCCATAATTAATTCATTATTTTATGTATTGTATATAAAAAGTTGTATATTTCAGTACAAACAATGGCATTTAACATTTTTCATATCTGATTGCAGACAATATTATTTTCGAGGACAAATACATGAACTCGTTCAAGCCATGGTGGAATCGATCCCGTATTGAACAATACGAAACTGCTATCAAGAAAGGGGCGTACATGAACAAACTGATCAAGGACCTGAACATAACTGATTTCTTGGAGCAAAGTTACCTCAAAGAGTGGGTGTATTATTGATATATTTATTATCTCAAAAATTAAGCGTATTATTGCTTTTTAATTACCTCATTTTTAATTATCTTAATGTGTAAGTGTATTACTGTTCATTATTACCTCATAGAATAAGTGTATTTTATTACTTTAAAAGTGTCCATAAAATGAGACTTAGGTGTTAGATTATTTCTTAATTCATTTCCTATTTATTAACAAACATTGTGTCATATCAGGGCTGGTTCCAATCACGAGGGGCAACCAATGGGTGTACACCAGTCTATGTTTATCCCTACAATCGAGAAGCTGGGTACTAACGAACAAAAAGCTAAATATTTGGAACCAGCCAAACAATTCAAGATCATAGGAACCTATGCTCAGACTGAGATCGGCCATGGTGAGTGTCAACAGCTGGTACAAAATAATACAAGTTTCAACAAAATAAACATATTCTTTTTTATAATAACGGTGTTCCGTTAGGGCCATCACGTTTTCTTTGAAAACGGAAAGTCCGAAACATGACAGTTCGATGATAACAGTACAACAGTTCGATGGTGACAGTACTATGATGACAATACGGCAGTACGTACTGGCACCATCTTCCTGTCTTTCGCAATCATACTGTCGTATTAACACCATCATACTGTCGCACTGTCACTATCGTACTTTCAGGTTTAGCGCTTTTCGTTCTCAGAGAAAACGCGGAGCACCGTATATAATTAATGAACAAATTTTTTTTCATTCATTCATCGTTCATAGATCGAGTTATATAATGAGAACTCTTGAAGGTTAAGTATATATCTTTATCAGCTAGGTTTTATTCATAACGTTTAGCTGAGACTTTTTGCCCTTAAAGCATCTATAAATAGATGAAACACGTATCTGTTCTTTTGCAACCTACCTTTAGGAACTTGTTTTCGTAATGTTTTGTAGGGTTTTTTTTATTATGTAATCAATTTGATTTTAGTTTGTTTGTTATAGTTTTTTGTTGTTGCTTTATTGGCTATCATTTTCTTATTTAAATTTGACATGTACTTTTACACACAGGTTGTTTTTGCTCTTGCATACTGTAACAATGAGAGAATTTTCACTTTTATAAATATATATAAATGTTTTATTTTCAGGAACATATATTCGTGGTTTGGAAACAACGGCTACATATGACCCGCAGACAGAAGAGTTTGTTATTAACAGCCCAACAGTGTCATCTATAAAATACTGGCCGGCTGCATGTATGTGACTTATGCTTTTCATTCATTGGTGTTGATTGGTTTTTGTTTTTTCTTGTTCTTGTCGGTGGTAGTATTGGTGTTTTCTTTTTGTTTATTTTCTTTGTCTCCTCCACCACCTCCTCCTCTTCCTCTCTTCCTCTCCTCTTCCTCCTATCTTCTTCTCCTCCTCTTCCTCGTCCTCCTTCTCGTCCTCCTCTCCTCCTACTCTTTCTCTCCTCCTCCTCCTCGTCCTCCTCTCCTCCTACACTTCCTCTCCTCCTCCTCTTCCTCGTCCTCCTCTCCTCCTACACTTCCTCTCCTCCTTTCCTCTTCCTCCTCCTCGTCCTCCTACTCTTCCTCTCTCCTCTCCTTCTCTCCTCCTCCTTCTCTTATCCTCCTCCTCCTTCTTCTACTTCTTCATTATCTTCTTCTTCTTCCAATGGTCAAGAAAAATCTCCATATTCTTCTGACATACTTTTGCAACTTTGGGACAAGCTTTTCGTAAGAATATTCCTTCAATATTTCATTTTAAATTGACATTGTCATCTATGAATCCCGTTTAAATAGGCATGTGTTATCACATTATTGTTCAGTCTGTAATTGACTGTATTTTTATTTTAAAAGATCGGAATATTATTTTCAAAGCTTACTCATAACAAAAGTGGATACATTACCTTTTTTGCAAGGTGATAACAGCTGCTAGAAATGAAAGTTGTAAGACTGAGTTTGAAATCGCGAAAATTGATGACTTATTTTAAAATTGTTGTCACATTTACAGTGGGAAGCACGTGTAATCACGTGGTATTGATGGCTCAGCTGTACAGCCGGGGTGTGTGTCACGGTATGCACGCTTTCATCTTGCAGATACGAAGTATGAAAGACCACAGAACGTTGCCAGGTTTGTCTTATTATCATATTTAAATCTAGAATCCAAACTATATTTGGGTGGTATGTAATTTGTAAATCAATTGTCATTATCGTGATGAAAATCGTACCAACAATGAAAGAGTAATGCTTAATTAAGTTCTCTAAAGCGGAAGGATTTCATGCAAAATTGCTTCTAAACGTAACCCTAAAACTGTTGAATGTTGCGTTTTCCGCTTTCTGATGTAATCCACATTCTGCTGAAATCTTATCTGGATATGACTATCAGAATACAATGTGAATGAACAGTTTCCCTTTTGTTAATCAACATTTAACACCTAAATACATAACACTTATCCAGTGTCTAGTACTGTGAAATTATTTTTAAAAAAACCTCAGTAATAGGAAACGAGTATTTTTACAAAAACTAAGAAAAAAATTATTATGTTTTGCACTGATGAAGGCATATAGCCGAAACGTTTGCAATAAAAAATAATTACTGAATGTTCGTGTTTGTGTGGCTCGTCTGTTTACTTTACAAAAACTAAGAGCAACGTTCATGCTGCGCTTTACAACGTTAAAGCCGTTTTTCCGACGTTTTAGCCGTTTTTTTCCGATGTTTTAGCCGCGCTTTGCAACGTTTTGCAATGTTTAAGTCGCGCTTTACAAGATACGCTTTTAAAGTAACTCTAAACATGTTTTTCTCTATATATAAACTTGAAGAAATCTTGAAGACGTCTAGTGCATATATAAAATATTTTCTGAACAATCGTTTCTATCTTTTAGGAATTTCTGCTGGAGATATAGGTAACAAAATTGGATTCAATGCAGTAGACAATGGCTTTTTGAAATTTGACAACGTCAGGGTTCCCAGAAATAGTTTGTTATCAAGATATGCTAAGGTATGAAGGTGAAGTTATAAACACCGTATTAATTTCACTCTTGAACAGCACACTATTTCGTTATTATTATTATTATTATTATTATTATTAATATCTTTATTATAATTATTACTTTATTATTATTATCATTATTATTATTATTATTATTATTATTATTATTATTATTATTTTATTATTACTATTATTATTATTATTATTTTTTTTTTTTTTATGTTTGTTTTCGTGTTTTTCAGTTAGAACGAGACGGTACATATATACCACCAGAAAATCCAAGAATCGCATATGGCACTATGGTGTTTATACGTTCACTCATTGTAGGCGCGTGTGCCAAGTCTCTGTCACAAGCCCTAGTTATAGCAACCAGATACAGTGCTGTGAGAAGACAGACAGAAATAAGACCGGGGTATGTTGAAAAAAAAAACATGATTTCCTTTAAAAAGAAAAGAAGATAAGCATTCAGTCTTGTAACTGTAAATAGTGACTTAAAATACATTTTTTGTCAAAACGTTTCAAATGGACCTGAATAAACATTTTGATTGCCATTAAACGTTTTGTAACTAACTTTGGTAAGGAACCAATTTGAGCTATAACACAGAATTTGTAATTATTTAGGTACCATTACTTTTAGATTTTAAAATAAGCCAATCCGAGTTATTCAGACCCGCCGAATAACTGAAATTTGCTAAATAAACATGCCCGTTGTTAAATTTTATTTCTGTTGTTGCCTCCTTCGTTTTGTCGTTGTTTTTGTTGTGGCCGTTGCTTGTCTCAAACAATTATACGTGATAAAAGTAATTACAAAATAATTGTTTCCTTTCATTAAGTGGCGAGGAACCGCAAGTTATAGACTACCAAACACAGCAGGAGAAGTTGTTTCCCTTGTTGTCGTCTGCTTACGCCTTCCTTTTTAGCGGGACTGTGATGCTGAAAGAATATTTTAGAATAAATGCCGACATTGACAAAGGAATCCTAGACGAAATGGCCGCGGTAACAATTCAACTTAAGTTTACATTTTAGTTTATATTCATTTTATATACCTTGTTGTTGTTGTGGTGGTGCTGACGGTGATTGTTTTGTGATTATTATAATAATTATTATTATTTCATGAAATATTTATTTTCATACCACTCGATGAAAATAAATCATGTTTTCATAGAAAGACCTATTTTTCTGGCCCTTGCCAGAACTATTAAGTGTTGAGAGATTAGTACCGATCAAGCCAGTGCGAGGGGGCTTGAGAGATGTTGCACTTTTCCATTATCCCTCATGTACAGACTCAATCAAACCGAGTATATTTTTTAAATATAAGTATATTTTTCTTAAATTTGAGGTTTTTTTTGGTGTTTTTTTTTTTAAGAACTGGATATGTAGAATTAGAAATGAATGCAAGTAATGAAGTAATAAAAGCATTGACTTTAAATGTTATTTGTTACAATAGCTACATGGGTTGGCCGCGGGGTTAAAAGCGTTTTCTGCAGAGGTCGCTAGCAACGGTGTAGATAAGTTACGTATGGCGTGTGGCGGCCACGGATACACTCACGCCAGCGGAATCCCTAAAATCTGGACATATATGACACCAACATGTACTTATGAAGGCGAAAATACGGTCATGTATCTACAGTGTGCAAGGTGTGTATTTAAACTAGATTTTAAAGAAAATTACAACTTCATAGGTATTAGCTATAGTTATTTTAGAAACACGAAAAAAACAAAACACTTTTACAACTTCTTTATCCCTGGATGTAGTCTATGCTTTATGAGGGTCCATCCGCCTGGTAGGGCACAAAATGCAGCTTTCGCTGTCGAGTACAGACCCCGGACATGTCAACAGCCATGCCCTTTAAGAGTTAATTTAGAAGCACAAAGGGGTGATAATTTACCTCCATGCAATTTCGACGGAGTATTAGCAAAAGATCTGGATTTTGAGCCAAAAGTAGGTCACTGTATGGCGGTCAATGATAAACTAAATGTACAGTAACCTGAGACAATAATGAAAGGGTAGCCCTTAAAATTACTGTTGGTGTCAGCAAAAAGCCTACCGGTCATGCTGTCTATTTGTGCTAGGGGCTCACGCACCATAGCACACCATTCTTGTCGTCTTAGCTTACTTTCTAGGGTCATTCCCTGTACAAATTTCATTTTTCATTACATTTAAACAGTAACTCACATGCGCATAAGAATGTAAAATTATGTGTTATATTAAAAGACTAAATAGTGTCAGAGAAACAATGTGCAATACAACTAGAACGCTGAACATTATCTGCTTCTAATGTCGTAAATGTACTGCAATACGTACAGTGTACATATGCACAACATATAAAACTAAACTACTGTTTTCCGGTGATTCTATATTGGTGAAATACCAATCTTACACAGAGCTCAGATCGACTTAAGTTATTTCTTGCCTTATGCGTAGCATTAATTAGGAGCTGATTTTAAACAGATTTGTGAAATACTAATTTGTAACATCTTTCTAGCAATCGAAACAAAACGTATTTATATCCTTATTTTTATCATTATATACATTAAAGAAAATGTGCGTTAAAATGCTAAAAAATATTTATCAAATACATGTATATATCATAGCTTCTAATCTTAGGTATTTAGTAAAACAGTATGCCCAGGCGGCCAGTGGACAGACACTTGTAGGATTTATGTCCTACCTCAACAATCCAGTCAAACAGAGAAGTTCCCTCAATGATTCCCTCAGTATGGTTGATTTGATTGAGGCATATGAACATACGGCAGTCAGGTAAACGATAAATCTCCTACGTTTGCTTTGTATAAATCATATATCCATAGAAGAACAGAACAGAACAGAACATAATTCTATTTTGGATTTGTACATAGTACATCCTCACTACAATATGAATACACACAATGTAAAAATGTGTTTTAGACGAGAAGGCAGCTACCTTAGTGTATTTATACTGCTGAGAGGAGAAGGAATGTTGACCTTGATCATTTCGTTCGTCGTTGGTCAAAGTTCAATACCCAAAGAGGTCTTATAGCGTTACAAACGTGCAGTATTATAAAGTTTTTTTTATAATACTGCACGTTTGTAACGTCGCTTTTCAATGAATAATCGTGGTGTTTATATAGTTATATATACACGACTACTGTCGAATAATGAAGAAATCTTACATTTTCTCTAAAAAAAATATGCGTGCTGTATTATAAATTCGTTATAAAGATTGTTGACAGGATATATGGCCGTATATAAACGGCTGTTTGCAATATAACCCTCGCCTAGCGGCTCGGGTTATATTTACAAATAGCCATTTATATAGGGCCATATAACCTGTCAACGGTCTTTATAACTAATATATACAGGGCTGCTGTCAATTTATGATGAAATCTCACTTTTTGTCAGAATGTTTGGTTCGAATTATATGCCTGTCACTTCCAACCAAGAAGTCCCTTTATCCTTTCATTTGAGGTCAGCCCAACAACCTTAATTTTTGTGTAGGTAAACAAGGGAGGTAAATAGTACAAGTACTATCGATACTATTTTGCACAGTTGTTTCCCCTGCAAATTAATAATTGATCTTTGATGTATTTGAACAAAGGTTAATTAAAGTGGCAGCATCTAAGATTCAGTCACTGGTAAAAGGTGGACTTCCTATTGAAGAGGCAAGAAATCGATGTGGAGTATCTTTGGTGGTGGCTGCAAAGGTAAGGCCTTTCATCGATTGTAAGATACAGAAGAAGACGGAAAATACCGATCTTTCTCTAACTTATGAATGAATGCATAACTAAAGATGTCGTTTTTTAATGATTTTGTTCTAAAAAGCTTAATAATTTGTTTTAATAAGTTTGACGCCATTTTTTGTTAGTTCATTGTTATAGTCCAGGAGAATCATTAGGTTTATTAACTATGATATGCTTTCATATTTGTCAGACTCAATTTTATTTTCAAAGTTTTAACAAGTATAAACAAATGATATCATTTATTTAATAAATGAAAGGAATATTCATTGAAATAAATTACAAATACAGGCTCACTGCCACGCGTTTGTGGTGAAACTTTTTGCGAGTGTCGTAAAACAACCGGAAATTGATCCTGCCGTGGCTCGAGTCCTGGTCACACTGTGCAAACTGTATGCGGTTTATGGAATCAACCAAAGACTAGGTGAATTTATGCAGGTATTTACGGTTGTATTCATGTATAATATATCTACTAAAACACGTAGAACATTGAAAAAAATCTGAAAATTTTTCTCCGGCCATACTTTTGGCAGGGCACTTTTTTTTAGTTTTTTTTTCTATTGACTTCACCAAAAACTACTGTTTAGGTAAGATTATCCAATTTTGTAACGTTAAACTATTGCTGTTAGACTCTTCAGATAGGGTTTGCGAGTTCTATTTCCCACTTCTGCAATTGCAACCTATAAAGAGAACCGTTGTCAAATAATAAATTCTGAAAAAGGGGGAGATCCCTAGATATCAATGAAATCAATTTAGATTAAAAGGTGACAATTGTTGTAGATCTGTTCTATGCTAGTATGATGTTTTCAACATATTCATGCCTCTTAGCAATACTTTAAATTATATTCCATCGGTGTAAAAGATGCTTTAGTCAGTTTGACTATCCGTATGCCCACATTAATTTTTTGTTTATATTGATATGTGGAGAAGTTGACAACTTTTTGTGGAGAACAGGCTAACAAGTCTTATACTGGTTAGAAAATTTATGGAGACTGATGACATGAACTATTATATGAACATTTAACTAGATATTTTTTTTTCTAATTCTTATAACTGTATGAATCTATCGGATATTATTTTGTCTTTTAGGACGGTTTCTTGGACGGTCGGCAAGCGGATATTATCCTGAACAAAACCCTGACACTGTTTGCCGAGATCAGACCAAACGCTGTAGCTCTGGTTGACGCGTTTGATTATCCCGATCAAATCTTACAAAGTTGTCTTGGACGTTATGATGGAAACGTTTACGAGGCACTGTATGAATACGCCAAGACATCACCACTAAATGAAAAAGAGGTAAATAATATTATAAGAAATGATATAAAAAATAACAGACAAATTTGAAATTATTATTATTTGAAGGTATGATTAAGCACACAGTTGTGCAGTTACAGTTGTTAATGCATCCGGCTCAGCAGGACAAGTGCTAGGCGTGACTTCATGAGCTCGAGTGATGAGTAAGATACATTGGATTTGTTGTCCGCGTGGCCGAATGATTAAGATCGTTGACTTCAAACTACTTGCCCCTCACTGCTGTGTGTTAGAATTCCGACATGGAGTTCTCATTCTTTCATGTGAGAAAGTAATTCAGCTAGCTTTACAGAACGTCGGTGGTTCTATTCAGGTACTCGTTCGTGAAATAATGCACGGAAGCGTACATGAGGTCTTTCAAAAAGAAGTTTCAATAACATTCTTAACAAAAGTAGTTACTAGTATATTATACATTTATAAATGCGGCTTATATACCAAATTTAGTGACGTCATACATTAATGCGACACACATACCAAATTTTGTGACAGTATACATTTAAGCGGCACATATACCAAATGAAGTGACGTCATACATTTATGCGGTACATTTACCAAATGTAGTGACGTCATAAATATACTTAATGCATTTATGTGGCACATATACGAAATGTACACGTATGTGAGTGACGTCATACATGGATGTAACAAAATATATATGAGCCGCGTCATGACAAAACCAACATAATGGGTTTATGACCAGCATGGATCCAGACCAGCCTGCGCATCCGCTCATATATGTAATACCAAATGTAATGAAAGCATACATTTACAAAGACCCGCTCTGTAAAGGTTGCGCTTAACATATAACTGTCCCTACGTTATGTAAATGTTTTAAAGTATTTTCAACATTACATGTGCTCTTTAAATATTAAGATATTTCAAATTGAGTTAAATGTGATTTAAGTGACACAGGTCAAGTTAACTAGCTAAGATGGTGGGATGAGAGGGCAAGGATCGTGGGTTCGAACCCTACTTGGATAACGATCAATGCTTCCAGATGTGACATACGTGTATATCCTAGGAAACTAGTGCTGGGGTAGTTCAATCAAGCCGACTAGAGAGTAGTTCAAATAACCAACATAATGGGTTTACGACCAGCATGGATCCAGACCAGCCTGCGCATCCGCGCAGTCTGATCAGGATCCATGCTGTTCGCTTACAAACTCTATAACAAGTAGAGAAACTGATAGCGAACAGCATGGATCCTGATCAGACTGCGCGGGTGCGCAGGCTGGTCTGGATCCATGCTGGTCGCAAACCCATTATGTTGGTTTTGTCGTGACGCGGCTCAAATATGTTTCAACTTGTCGAGCAATACTTTCTGTTTCAGGTTCAAGACTCATATTATACCACACTAAAACCGCTGATGGAGGGAACGCTCAAGTTTGACGCTGCACCGCCTTCGAAGCTGTAGAATTAATTTCATTTATTTTTGTGTTATCATTGTTTAACAAAACGTTCTGTTTACATATTTGGTGCTGTTTTACTATTTAATAAAATATCGTGTTTTTAAAGTAACAAAGTTCATGAGACATTTGCACACACTTTATCAGATAACGATGCCTTTCATGAATCGCTGTTTGAAAAATGTTTATTTACTGTATGGGGGTGTAACAAGTTGCCACCAAAAAAAAATTAGGTTTTTCATGAATGATAGTCAGTACATTTGCAAACATACAACAAGTAATTGTGCATCATACATGTATAAAAAAAAATGACTTTCAGTTTATGATCATACTAAAAGTGATTGATAGTGGAATAGTTAAACGTGACGTTTTATTATACGTATATCATCCTCATGAATTTGTTTTAATAAGACTCAACAACATGAAAACAAAAACAAGTTAAAGAGTATTACAATCGAACTTCAAATTAACCTCAAAGGAGAATTTAATGTAATCAATAAAACGATCCAAGTTCGACATTACTTATATACTCAAATGTGGAAAAGAGAATTTCGGAGTTTTGTAAAACAGAATAAACACATATTGACAGTGACAATTCTAACCTGTGTATAAGATTACCCACAGATCAAAGGCCATTGTGAAGGGCCTGATATTTAGAAAAGTGCGCGGTTTAGATTTCTATGGATGGTGTAAATCCAGTTAAAAACAAAAGTATTTGAAATATTGTTTATAAACAAAAAGGTTATAATCATATAATGTTTTGATAAGGCCGCGTGCATATGTCATGTACGTAAAATGACTTCAATGATTGTTACTTATATTTATTGTTATACTTTATGAAAATTGATTGAAAGGTTTATAGGAAAATGCATGTTTTTCTATTACTATTATTTAAATTAAAGAGAAGAATTATGATGATTTTTGGCGAGCTAACACAGTCATTGGGACTTTTTTAAGATTATAAGTATGTAGCTCAAATATTCAAAGAATAGAGAGAGAGCTCATGCAAGCGTCGGTTTTGATCAGCTTTCATGTGCAGGTTGGTATCACTGTCCAAGGACCATAACTCTAGCATGGACTTTGACACAATTATGGCTCTTTTTGAACGATATAATTATACTTTATCCAGGTTTCGAAAATTAAAAAAAAATCTTTGTAAAGTCAGTTTTTTTTAAAAATCTGCATCAAGCCAATATGTAAATGGTCCGTTATCACTTAAGCAGACGACAGTAACACAAAAGAAAATACATTCAGTATTAGACATGCATGCAAGCCAAATCCCCTCCCTTTTAAGTGTATAAAATGCGAGGTCATGCAATTAAATAGCATACTTTGTGCTGTCAATTCAGTAAGATTAGATAATAACAAGATAATAAAAGGCAAGAAAAAGGGTTAATGATCCACCTCGTGTGATTTATCTCTTTCAATATTAGACGAGCCATTTTACGATCCATTTTACCGATCCATTTTAAGCACCGATCAAAACGATGCATTTTTTTTTCAGACGTTTTTGTTGAAACTAAAGTAACCCTTATGTAAACTTTTAAAATTTTGACTTTCAGAAAACTATTTCATTACTCCGAGTATGTTTTATAAAATTTTAGTAAACTGAAGATTGTGCATTGTAACACCGCACTTTGGGGTCAAACGCACTTTGGGGTCCGACCCCAAAGTGCGTAAAACTTCGCACCGCACTTTGGGGTCAAACGCACTTTGGGGTCAAAATCGAGAAATTGACCCCAAAGTGCGTTAATATGCTACATATCAACGCACTTTGGGTTCCAGAGGTCTAAAGGTGTAATCTGAGTTCTGCTTAAATACTGAGAACTGACTTATTTTCGATCTTCGACATTGAAATATTTGAGGTGGAGTTCAAGATGGCGGTCAATACTTTGATGATGCTTAAATGATAAAAGTTTCATTAATTTTACCACTTAAAATATCCAATAATAATAATAAATTGTTCATATAACAAAATTACGGTGGCATAAAAGTGACATTTGCATTTATTTTTATTTAAGTTTTGCATACATATTTTTATTTAAGTTTTGCATACATATTTTTTTTCAGTTTTGCATTCATATTTTTTTTTTTTGAGCTTTGCATTCATATTTTATTAAAGTTTTTCGTACATTTTTTATTTTGGTTTTTTCGTACATATTTTAGCCAATCAAAACAGCCTTCACATCTCATAACAGCCCATAGTTGAGTATAAAACTAGCACTGTAGTTTGGTCATATTTCGGCCCATTTTTTGGAATCGGCCCAGTCGTTTTTGGCCGCGCAAGTCTGGTTTCGACCGACCTTTTTCGGCCCATTTTTTAAATCATATGTATTTAATATAATTAGTGTATTTTTTAAATAATTATCTACTATTATATTAGTGTCTATTTGGAAATTGCTGTTGATTGGTGAATGAATATGCACCACTCAACCCCACCCCCTGAGTATAGCGGGGGGGAGGGGCATTGACTTTAAACCAAGCCGACCACTGGTAAAATCTTCGCCCTGCGGGGGATTATTCAGATAATAACATTCCTGCTTATGCACCGGAACAGCACAGACAATCACACGATTCTTTTTTAACCCGCACTCCCCCGGGGCAAGGGAGGTGGTTACAATGACTGGTGTATTACAATAATGCAAAATAAAAGATCTAAATAGTTTCTTATATTCCACTGATTTAGAAAAAAATATATATATACATGTATATACATGTACATGTATATATCAGAGACATAGATAATATCTATGTCTCTGTATATATATGTATACTAAAATGTGTTATTATCTTTTTGATAACCTCCAAAATGAAAATGTTGGTATTTGCAAATGGCGTTTGCAAATGGGGTACTGTAATTTACAGATGGCGAAGTGTTTTGAAAATGGTGTTTTACAAATGGCGTAATTATCCAAACCTCTACTTTGCAAATGGCGTCATGTAAAATTATGTACGAAAAAAAAGTAAAAAACAAAACAAAAATAAAATATGTACCAAAAACTCAAATAAAATATGTATGCAAAACTAAAATAAAATATGTATGGCACAACTTAAAAAGAATATGTATGCAAAACTTTAAAAGAATATGTATGCCAAAACTAAAAAAAAGTATGTATTCAAAACTAACAAAAAATGTATGACAAACAAAAAAAACAACAAAAAATATGTACGAAAAAAAAAAGTATCAAAAACAAAAAAAAGTTGCAAATGTCATTTTTGCCACCGTTCAAAATATTTTAGTACAGAAATCGTGTATTCCTAAAGTTTAAAGATGCTGCGAAAAATATCCCGATCTGTCAGTCATTTACTTGATACCTTTTGGTGCCATGTTGAGCTCCATTTTAAATATGTAAAGAATGAAATAAAATGCAGTTAATATTTTTCCCCCCCTCCGTAACAACCGTTCGCCAGATGCTTTTTTTAATGGGAAAATCTTACATACTTCTTTAGAAAGATGAATTTTATAATGTTAAAATAATGGTATCAGAGAAATGTAAGATGCTTGTTACCTGAATAAAGTAGCGATAAATGTGAAATTATTTGTCATAAAAGTAGTCAAAACAATGTAGTATTTGACTTCCATATAAAACATGTAAACAACTTATCACTATAACAGTACTGTACTCATTATTGTCAAAAAGCAACAGATGAAAAAGATGGTTCAGGTAATTGGCCAATGTGTATTTTTTTGATAATATAAAAGAACATCAAAATAAAAAAGCTGAAGAAAAACAAATAAAAGCATAATGGACCTTTAAAATGTTATTTTTAAACCTCGGGGAGATCGATACCCCACAATCCCCTCTACACCCCCAGTGAGAATTTTACATTATTCTGAAGCTCGCTCTTAATGTGCGACTACTTAAATAGTTGATATTTTTTGACTGCCTGTACGGACTACTACTTAAAGCCGCATCTTCACCTAGTCAAGTTTCTAATGTGTCACATTTAGCTAAATGAATGGCTATTTTAACATATTATCAGGCATTTTTTTTACTGAAATGTCTTACTAAGATTACCCATAATTTATGCCTTTGTCTATGCAAAGACTATCATATTTCTGTAAAATGTGTAAATAACAAATGGGAAAATGATGCATTTAGCTAAAAACAATGGAGTTAATGAAAGGTGTACATTCTTTTAAAATAAATGGAAAATTTTAGAAAAACATATTTTAAGCTTAAAGCTGCATGCCTCCAGATGAGTCAAAATATTTCAATAAAATCAAACTTGAGAAATATGTACTACGATTATAGGAAATGTAAAATGATTCAAGATTCAAGTAATATTTTACATGTTATGTGCGGTCAATGACTGAGTTTTCAATATTTACAACTATATTCCTACTGCGTTACTAACGCATTAAGGGCTATTTATGCATATTTTGACAACTTTTTGGTAATTTACGTAAGTTATAAGTGCCATTGATAATGTGCAAATTGCTTCCTTTTGGTTATTCCACAATATTATACATTCAAATAAATTTTTAAAATTTTCATGAAAATTAGCGTGAATCTGGAGGCGTGCTGTGTAGGAGCACATTTGTCTCGGAGCACATTTGTCTTACGTAAGACCGATGCGGTCGCATTTGTCCCACATGAGATAAATGGGACCTCAAATGTCTACCCCAAAAAACTTATTTGTGTGACAAATGTGCTCCGATCAAGTTTTTTAAGGGACAAGAAAGCACATTTGTCTCATATGTTTATAAAGCACATTTGTCTTATGTCATTTTTTATGAATTATTTATCACATATTTCCCCACGGCAGAAATTTTTTTTTAGAATCGAGGTTCGCCGTTTTACCTCAAGTGTAATCATCAATAGGTTTGCTTATGCTTTTTTATGAAAACCTAGAGTAAACAATTAATTATAATATCTCTAATTCAAGAAAATGATTGGCTTAACCTGAAGGCGTACACTGAAACATACTAAATCCCATTCACGATGGTACAATAGTGACAGCGCGATGGCACGATGGTACGTTGATGACGCGATGATGCGATGGTGAAAACACAATTGTACGAACTTGAAACAACGATTGTACGATGGTGAAACAACGATTGTACGATGGTGAAACAACGAAGGCTCGATGATGAAAACGTGATTGTACCATGGCGAAAGATGATGTTACGATGGGGAAAATACGATGGTACGATATGATGAAAACGCGATATTATTTTCTCTATCGTGTCATCGCATTATCGTGATTTCACCATCGTGTTTAAATCATCGTACCATCTCAATTTCACCTTGTACCAATGTGCAAAGCTGTTCAGGGAGACAAAAATGATACCTATGTCCAAACAGAACACCGTAATCGGTTTATATTGAATGAAACAATATCGTGACTCGTTTCGCAACTCGCCGAAATCTCGCGTCTCGCGAAATCTCGCGTCTCGCTTCGCATCCCGTTCGTCGACGCGAGGCAAGAAATTGATTCCAGGTCATAAACCGCTAAGTAGTATTCCCTTTATAATCTACATAAAATCATTTAAAGGCCCATTATGCCCGAAAAATGCTTTTACATATTTGTATTCCTCAAAAGCTTTTTTTTTTGGTATACTTTTAAAGCTCCAAAAAGTTACCCATTGGCTAATTACCTGAAGCATTTTTCATCTGCTGCTTTTTTTGCAGTTTGTACAGTTGAAGTGATTTAGAATTTTGTATTGAAGTCAAAGTACTACATGTACATTGTAAACATTTTGCTGCTTAATGACGCATTATTTCACATTTATTGCAAATTTCTTTGGGTTACAAGCATCTAACTTCCTCAAAAATCATTTTTTGAATATTAATAAATTCATACTTGCCCTATCTAAAGAAGTAAAAATTTATTAATTTCTGAAATCTTTTGGTACGGGATACTTCGACATTGGGAGATCTCCTGTTACAATATCGTGCCTCGCTTTGTGTCTCATCGGAATGCGTCTCGCCCATTCTGAGTGGCCCGATATTCCATAATTATGGCATTACCCGGATTATTTTAGGCACTCATGCATGTTGTAAGTGCTTTTCAACTGCGAATCTGAAAGCCGCAGTTCTTGGAAAATGACGATTTGTATACATATATTTCTGATGAAAACGAAATACGTGTGTAATGGTCTTCTTATTTTCTCTATAGATCATTTAAGGGCCTTCGTGGCCGAGTGATTTCAAAAAACCACTTGTCCTTAACCGCTGTATGCTCGACTACACGGGGCGTCGAAATATTCATGCAAAAATCCCGGTCAGGGTCCAAATGCGCGATACATATGTGCGTGCGCACGTAATAGTATCGCAAGGCCACGGAAAAGCTATCGTGTGCGCTTTCGTGTCCCCTTCATGCCACCGTAGATACTACCTTGTTTTTGCTAAGAATATTTCTAGTGCCATAAATCCTCTATAAAACTTTACGCATTGACAATAAACGTATCACTTGATAACGATAAGAATAGACTTGCTGCAAATGTGTTTCTGGATGCTGCACTTGTAGAAATTTTCATTGTGACATGCAGAACAGGGATATTCTTTAATTTAATATATGACTCCTATGCAGAGGCAGGAAGTTTTTGACTGACCGAAAGTGACCTAAAAACGGTATGATATATACAGAAAACACAGAAAATGGCTGGTAGCCGGTATACAGATGGACATAATTATCACCTTTTAAGAATTTTATGGAAAAAATGTGAGACAAATGTGCTTCGAGTGTCCTTCCTATTGTGTGTCGTACACATCTGTCTCATTTCCAATTTGTCGCAAATAAGAATGTTTACGAACACATCGGTCACACTTCGTGAGACAAATGTGCTTCGAGACAAATGTGCTCCTACAGTGCTGCATTTATACAAATTCTTTTTTTGGTGATTTATTTTGTGAAAGTTCTTCACTTACTAATCAAGACCATTTAAATCCCTATTGATTCAGGTCTAATTAATACCTTGATTTTTGTTTACCATTGGCTTTGACTACACTATATTATTTAAAACATAATGAACATAAATTTTCTCTGACCCCAAAGTGCGGTCGTTTGCTTGATGTTGAAAAATGCATATGTACCTGTTTAACGCACTTTGGGGTCGAAATTGGACCCCAAAGTGCGTAACGCACTATGGGGTCCGACCCCAAAGTGCGTAACGCACTTTGGGGTTCGACCCCAAAGTGCGTTTGACCCCAAAGTGCGGTGTTACAGTGCATGCCCGGGATCTTACCCCAGTACTGAGAGTCTGAGATTATAATCAATAGGCGAATGTGTCGAAAAAGATCGAATTTCAAATTTAAGACAAATATTAAATATTAAATGTATAATTTAATCCACAAAAGAATAACGTTTTAATTCAAAAGTCTTCACTGAGAAAAAAAGTCATATGATGTCAAGTGTCAAGCATTTGAACGATAACCCGTACATTTATTTATCAAATAATAATAGTACATGGCGAGTGGTAAGATATAATTAAAATAATTTTACATTTTGTCATATTTGTTTTCAATTTTGAAAAGAAAGTCAACCGAGTGTTCAATAACCCCTTGACCCACAAATATTCTTCGAAAATATCAGTAATGTTCAATTTATAAAAAAAAGAGTGGGATAATCTTTTTTATACTTTATGCAGTTCATAACTTTTATGATCATCAATATCGCTCAATTGCCAGTAAGTCAATCTTTGGAAAAGAAGAAAAGAGAAAACACGAACTTGTGTAATATAAAGACATAAATACGAATTAAGAAAAATAATAATATTGTTTAATGTCACATGGACAATATGATATTGACAAGACAACATTTCAGATGTAAAAGATTGTTCGTCTGTACAGTGAATATTTCAGGTACGCATTATTATCGGAGCAAAACAAAAGACCTTTCGAGAATTACAAGTTAAGTTCGATATTACATGTATATTATTTCAAAAATATACTATGCTCAAATTTGAAAAAAAATATTGATAATTGTTGCACAGTTTCAATATGAATATACAAAGAAAATACCATCTTTACTTCAACTGTTATAACCGTTAAACATATGAGCCGCGTCACGACAAAACCAACATAATGGGTTTGCGACCAGCATGGATCCAGACCAGCTTGCGCATCCACGCAGTCTGATCAGGATCCATGCTGTTCGCTATCTGTTTCTCTACTTTTAATAGGATTTGTAAGCGAACAGCATGGATCCTGATCAGACTGCGCGGATGCGCAAGCTGGTCTGGATCCATGCTGGTCGCAAACACACTATGTTGGTTTTGTCATGGCGCGGCTCATATGTATTCTGTAATTAAATATTTTACTTAAGGACGAGCATAGAATATCTAAAAATATGGCAAATTTAACATGTAACAATAACGTGTATTTTATTAGTTATTGAAAAACATACAAAATTAATCTCTTATTATCAATATAAAACCAAATCGTTATAAGAATGGATATTGTAAACGTGAATTATTTCGTTTATGGAAAAAAATGCACTTTTTGGCACAATATCAATACCTAAGCCGGTTTGGAATTATTCAAGTATTTTAACAGATTGACGTCTTCTCGCGTACTTATCGCCATCCGTAGCCGTGTTTGTGAATATCTGAAGTTTTTAGGTGGCGTCAGGTTCGGCCAGCGGGACTTGTATTACGCTTTGCCACGTTACTACAAACTCATCGCTCATCGATGATTCACACAAAAAAGTTTGAGACGTATATGACGCATATGACTTAACAGAACAATGATTGGCTACTTATGACGCGTATCAGTGATTCTTCAAAAATAACGGTGACGATGACGTCAATGCCACTATTTCACTATTTAACGTCTGTTGACGCTAATCACTACTTGAAAAAAAACTGCTAATGTTCTTTTTGAATTGTGTTCCGAACCGGCACATTAATTTTGTAGCTTTATAAAAATGTTATAAAAATTATTATCTTGCGTTGGTTTGTTTAACTGGCCACGTTCAGAATTTCACATCTGCTAAATTCCTGAGAGAGCAAAACGTAATCTCAAAATGAAGAGTGGAACCATTAAATACACAAAAGTGAGATTTTAAAGGTCTGCTAAACAACTTCAAATGACATCATGACGTATTGAACACAGGTTCATTTCTATGTTGACTCTCGGCTAACCCGAACACGGTTGTCTCGTACAGCACGTGGTGAAGATAGTAAATGGCATCCGGTTTCACATAGTGAAATGATATTGTATACCTCGAACAACATTCTTTACCCTGAAAGAGAAGAATATATGAATAGATCAGTCTGCATATTGATTAACCAAATTAAAGGAACCCCACTTGATCACCTTGTGCACTTAAAACGAAATTATAAGGAAGAAATCATAATGAAGTATGAAAAGAATTTTATTATTCAAAGTCAGAGATCAACTGTCGTGTGAAATATTTCGACTCGCCCGAGGGTCGCCCGAGAGCTTCCTCTGCCTGGCTTTAAAATCTGATGCTCTCCCTTAGTGGACCTCCTGGTACAAAACCGGGTAAGTTTGAACACTGGAAGTATGACGAGGCTTAATGAAACTTTCGTTCATCTTTTTATTTCATTTTAATATTTGACATATTTGGGCAAACCGTGACCGGGTGGTTAAGTTTGTTCCCTAAATAACACTGGCCCATCACCATTGTAGGTTCGAGACTTTGGATTTTGTGATGTATGAGAGCCTATCCAGCTAGTAATTGGATACCCTAGGGTCTATTCTGGTGCTCGCACATGTTTGAAATAAAGCACGAAAGAGAAAAGCAAAAATAATTCATTCATCAAATTATCCTATTACAGCAGATCAAATTCGTTACATAGATATAGAAAAAGCAAGATTTAATTTAGAAATTGTAAAGCTGCCCTAGTGTGGTAATGAAATTATAAAACTAAGTATAGCTACATACATGTATTTGTGTACTGAACGTGATACTACAAGATTCAGTGAATGATTGTTACTAATAAACGAAAGTAATCTGAAGATGTTTACATCCGTGTCGTTTAACTGAGGAGGATATAAGTTGACAGTCCTATCTAACAAGCGATCTTATTTTATCAATGTTGTTACTTAACAGCTCACATCGTCAAGATAAAATAATCATATACGTCATGTTCGGATTAAAATGATAGCTGATTGATAAGTATGCACATAATAGAATAAACTAGACACATAAACATATAATGGATAATACCAATAATAAAAATACGAAATGTAAAATGAGGCAGTAAAGGCGTTCCATACATTTCTGCTATATTCCATTGATGATTTATCAACTTTCGTGGACATTCTGTATCTTAATTATTCAAACCATAATCATTTGCATCTACTTAACATGTTTAAAACATTTTTATAAACAGCGTATAAATTACATCACATCCACTGCATGTTTACAAGTGTCTTTCCGATTTGTCAGGTATGTGTGTGTGTTCATAATAAAAATGAGATTCATAAATCAATTTACATGTGCATCTATAATGAAGGTAAAGTTTGCCATTTCTTAATACTTAACATTTTAGGTAAAACGAGTGTTGTGGTTTGGTTTGTAAATCAAACAAAATTCTTACCTTTTTTAAGGGATGTTTCGCCCAGCTAAACATGAACTGTGGTAAATTTCCAAACAGATGTTGCTCTAACGGATATGCATGAAACGTCTCTCTGCCTTGCACGTCCAGTGACGACCAGACTGGAACCCCTGCTAACTCCAAGCACCTTCCGGTTTCAATATCCTCTGAGTTTTCTGGGTCATCTTTCCGGGGAACAATCTCACAAACGCCATTTTGGTATCCCCGTTCAACTAACTGACGTAGTCCACGATTACTGATGACGTAACCAGCACCTCCGCTCATATAACCACTTTTTAAGAATTTATTGAAATGAAAGCCTAGATAACCCGGTTTATCAGCGTCATGATGCCACACAAGGTATTTTAAGTTTTCAACTATCACATACGTGTCATCATCTGCTTTGAGCAGGAAATCAAAATCGTTTCTATAATTTTTATAGATTTCTTCGTAAGCTTTCCTCATTTTGTGTACCAAAGTACGTCGAGTGTCAGGAACATCAATGTTCAGAAAATCATGTCGCTTCTGACGTGAGTTTATCACATAGAAATGTTTATCACATCGAGTCGCCCACGTGCTGTTTACGGCCGCCACCTTGGTATTTATGTCTTTTTCCATAGTAAGTATTAAACAAAGAATTCGCACTTTCTTTACGGCCTCAACAATTTGTCTTTGTTCGCTCAAGATTGGTTCTGATTCTGAAAACAAGACAGCAATATTACGTATTTTAACTTAACTCCACACTGATTGCGGTACTCAATAACAGATCTGAGTGCAGAAAAATACATGTATATTCTGGGACCAAACATAACCGATTTCAATTGGACACCTACATACTGAGTGATAAGAAAGCGCGAGTTGCCTGTCACATACTGATCAAATCAAAAATGTATATCACTCAAATCATATCACTCACAGTATATCACTTATTGTATATCACTTACAGAATATCACTTACTGTATATCTATAGACTAACAGTATCTCACTGCATATCACTTACTGAATATCACGCATTCTATCATTCGCTGCCATCACTATTGCATATAACTCACAGTATATCACTCACTGTTTATCTCTCCCAGTATATTACTCACAGTATATCACTCACTGTTTATCACTCACAGTATAGTACTCACTGTTTATCACTCACAGTATATATCTCACTGTATATCACTCATAGTATATCTCTCACTGTATATCACTCACAGTATATCCTTCACTGTATATCACTTACAGTATATCCTTCACTGTATATCACTCACAGTATATCCCTCACTGTATATCACTCACAGTATATCCTTCACTGCATATCACTCACAGTATATCATTCACTGTATATCGGTTATTGTACATCATTCACTGTATATCACTCACAGTATATCTCTCACTGTATATCACTCACAGTATATCCTTCACTGTATATCACTCACAGTATATCCTTCACTGTATATCAGTTATTGTACATCACTCACTGTATATCACTCACAGTATATCTCTTACTGTATATCATTCACAGTATATCTCTTACTGTATATCACTCACAGTATATCCCCCACTGTATATCACGCACAGTTTATCACTCACTGTATATCACTCACAGTATATCCCTCACTGTATATCGCTCACAGTATATCCCCTACTGTATATCACTCACAGTATATCCCTCACTGTTTATCACTCACAGGATATCCCTCACTGTATATCACTCACAGTATATCACTCACTGTATATCACTCACAGCATATCACTCACTGTATATCACTCATAGTATATCCTTCACTGTATATTACTCACAGTATATCCCTCACTGTTTATCAGTTATTATATATCACTCACAGTACATCACTCATTGCATTTCACTCATAACTCACTTGTTAAACTATATATTACAGAAATAAATTATATATTACAGAATAAAGGAGAAAAATGCGTTGATCTTATTGTATACCCTACAACTTCTAAGAAAGGCATCTAACCCAGCAGTAAAATATTTTCAGAACTTTTTTCTTTGTTAGTGAAACACGAAAAAGGTACAAGTAAGATTTTGAAAAAGACAAATTCTGAAAGTTAAATTACGAATTTACCTGCTAGGTTGTTAGGACTCGGTGGCCACTGTATATTCTCCATATTAGGTCTGTGTAGCTGTCGTCCTATCAGGAAAGCAAAACCATATAAATTGTTATCTCATATATTTGACATACTTAAAAAATTATTTTTAAAGATATAATAATTATATTATACTATTTTACTCCTTGATTAAAATATTTCAGTCACAGAAATGTATTGAATTCTATGAAATTCTTACTGAATATGTCTATTAATTTGAATAAAAAGAATAAATAAACTATGTATGTGAAGCTGCGTTCCCTACTACACGTCAATTAAAGTAGGTCTTTTCTTATTTTTAATGACACTAAATATTCATATTGTAACCACCTAGTGTAGAATTTTTTAACAAAACATGAAGTCATGAAGTCAAAACATGTTTACTTTATATTTAGAAAGAAACTGTGTAGCAATTGTCAATTCATTCTAATTTCAATTTTGAGATTAGTATGTTTTTAACAGACTACATCATGTACATATCCTTAGTACAATTTCAAATGCCTTCTTTTAAAAAACTATGTAAAGCAAAGTTATGACAACAATTTCTCTGAAATAAGATTTGCGACATTGACCCTTTAAAGGCCCATTATGCCCAAGATATGCTTTTATTTTATTTTTCAAAAGTTTTTTTTCTGTACTTACATAGTTTTCAAAAAGTTACTCATTGACTAATTATCTGAACCATCTTTTTCTTCTGTTGCCGTTTGGCAATTAGTACAGTTATTGTGATTTTATATATTGTATTGAAATCAAAATATTACTTAGTTTTCATTTAGCTCCTTATATGGTAAGTTAGTTAATTCACATTCAACGCTACTTTCTTCAAGTAACAGGCTTCAAATTTTCTCTATAACCATTATTTAAACGTTATAAAATTCATTTTCCCTTTCTAAGAAGTAAAAATATATTTTCATAATGTGCCCTTAATAAAGGTGTGCGAGCATTATCTTCACATGACTTGCTAGAAGATTTTATTGCCAAACAATACCTTCTTATTGGAATTATTCTCCGAATTCGTTAAAATTAAAATCATCACTAGAAAAGCATATGGCCAAGTCTTGTACTGATTTCTTATGGCTAACCTTGAACGCATGCGCACGTGTTATGGACATAGATTTGAGAAGCCAGGATGTCACTGATATATTCCCTTTTGTGAGGAAATACACCATAATTGATCAGCTAGATCATTGATGAATATAGGGTATCTAGTTTAAAAAAGACAATAATACTGCTGAACCAAAAATGAAGAATACGGAGATAAATTGTAAATTCTTTAAAGAACTAAGCAAGAATCTATAATATAATATGAAGCTTTTTGTGCAAATATTTACCATTCCCTATTTGTCCATATGTCGCAAATATCAATAAAACAATAAGCGCGAAAAAAACACATATGACCGTTCTCTTATGTACATGGCACCTCCCTAACGACACACCAGATTCCGTCATCCTGTCAAACCGGAGATCGGTCCTATTCCGTAAATTGTCAGTTCTAGCTCACATCACGCTGAATATCCAACACTAGACGACAATGTCGGTTGACTGTTAGTCGTTATTTCCTTATTGTTGATCTGTTATCCGTACAGGGTCTATGTTCTTCATCACCTACGAATGTTTCAAATAAAAACAAAGACAGCATACAATGTTGTTATAAAACAGACAAATACATGTACGTCGTTCGACGGTATAAACTTAAATACGCACAATTAGGGGGTTACAATACAGGAAACTGCAATATTTTGATTAGAATACAATCATGTCGGAAACACTTCATGTTACGGACTTTCATTTATTCTATTCAAACAAGTCATAATTACTCCGTGCAGTATCAAATAAACTATTCCGCCCGAGAAATTTCAACTGGAAGTTATCTACTCAGACTGAATCATTGAATAAAGTACATTTATGCAAAACTGGCCAATTAGAATTGTTACCGTGTAAAATGACTTTTCATTGTCTATGCGTGTGGGAATTGATTTCTTTTTTATTCTATTTTTTTATTTACTGCATAAATTGTTAAACGTTAAAGTAAATTTTATATCCGCTTTGCGAAAAGTTTCATTGTATTTAATTCTTTACATTTTGTTATTTTCCTTAGATTCTATAATTTGAGGCCGGACATTTTGTTCTTTTAATCTACCGAGTTTATCTAATAGATCTGCGCTGTTTTAAATTTGAAACAGTTCATTCCGAGTTTTAGGATTTAAAAATTATAAATCTATGCTACCAACTTGCAGTATAATACCTGACCAAACTGGACGGGTATGCAAGTTGGCCTGGCTATATATATGGTGGCAAAAGCGGTCACAACCGATTTAAAATAACCTAAGAATATTGATCGGGCTAATGCTAAGTCTTATGGGTAAACATTGCGTATTTTTGGAAAAAAAAACAGTATTCTAAACCTTAGTCAATAGTACGTTACGAAACATAAGCATCAACATTTTATATTACAAACCTCATCCCTAACCTCTACTGTGGGCTCGTTGCCAAATTCACACAAAGCTAACACATGTTTAGTTTCGTGTAAAACATCCGAAAGTTATGCTCATTTGCTATTCATAAATAACAAAATAAATATCAAAAGTTAAACACTATGTCTGTAGTATTAATAAATTGCATAGGGCTATAGCTTGTTTTGTTCTCGAACTTTGTTTTTGGATAATCACAAATACATACATTACTTAGAACTCACAAAAACAATAACACAAAGAAATATAAAAGAAAATAAATAATTACATTTGTAAATACCAGTGTCATTATTTCTGTTGTTTTATATTTCACCGTTAAATGATATCAAAAGTTTTTAATATTTGTATCCTATTAACAAACGTACGAATTATAAATAAATTTCACCAGATAAAAGTTCAAATATGTTCCCAGGCCCACCCAATGCCTAATTATAGATAAAATACTTAATGTTTAACTTGTTATTATGTTTTATCAACCATGTACACGTTTATGTGTTTTCTGTTATACACAATTAAGTGGACACTTGTAAATTGTAAGCAGACGACAATTAAATTGTCATATGACTAATGTTTTATCGTCACTTTAATGTTGTCTTATTATGAAAAATATGCGAATTAATTGTACTGATAAGAACAAAATAATTGTTATGATAGTTATGATAGACACATGTCAAGGTCGTAAGTGTTTCTTTTAAACTTTGTTAAAGTAAATTGGTCTATAATGGAATGTGTGTATATACAATTAAGCATGATGTTGAAAAAAATTTAGCATCAGACATAACAAAAAAATATGAAAGAATTATACATATACATGGATATTTGTAACATGATCCGACATTACCTATATTTATAGCACATAATAACATGCTCTAGAACAAAATATTATTTTTCACCTTATGTATGTATCAGCTCGATAAAGTAATCACTCTCAACTTAATCAACATTTTTTCCAAGAAATATTTTATAAGAATATCCAAATGATACATAGCTGTTGCTTTTATCAATATTTAAAATTCTTCTGAAAATTGTGTCAATGGTAGTCCAATTTCCTTTAAAGTGTCTGATTATCTAATATACATATATTTGTAATTCATTCGAGGATCTGTATTCGACGTTTTCCACCGAAACCTAATCCTGGATTTGATGCGAAACTGTATTCGGAGTATCTGATGGAGAATTCAATATAATTATTATTCTTTATCAGTTAGTAGATTTTTTGCTTAAACAATCGCATGACGAAAACATATTTACAGTAGTAATAAGAACTTCTCTTCATCAATGTGTCTGTCTGTCCGTCCGTGTGTTAACTTTAAGTATCTCTTTTTGTCCACATGGTTGTCTTCCTGTCTGTGTGTCCGACTGTCCGTCCATCTCTCTATTTATCTATTTGTTAAAGTTTATTCTGAGATACTTTTAACCTTGTTTGAGCATCTATTTGTTCTTGCTATGTTTGTGTGTCTGTCTGATGTCAGTTCTGACTTAATTTTATTAATATCACGATATATATTTACTTTAAAACTTATTGAAATCGCTGGCATCAGCGAGCGGATAACTACTACTGTTTAGGCATCAATGAGTTGGTCATTAAGTGTTTGGTCAAAATCTCAAAATAAAGTTTCCTTTTAAAAGGAAAGGCTTGCACAGTTGGCCTTCAACCCAACCCTTAAAAATTGTTTTGTTTTTTTTGTTTCAATTTATTATCACAATTTTTTTGAATTACGGTATTTGTATATCAAAAATGGTTTATTTAGTTGTTTTTTTTTTTGTAAAAACGAATATTTTTTGTCAAAACGATTTGAAATCTATTCTCTATTGTATAAAACTAATAAAGAAAATAATCAATCGTAAAAATACTAACGTGGAGATCTATCTATCATACTGAAGGGAAACAAGTGTGCACATTTCATTTCCACTTTTTTCGCAGAGAAATCATTCGTTTTGGCAGTTGCTAATTTCATTTATATAGCATCTTTATGGACAAGTAAATGCACTAAAATACTTCGTTACGTGGTACCAATTAATAAGCATGTCGACCACAGATACGATGCTCTATTTGTAGATCAGCACGTGGTAAGGTTAATGATATGCATGGGCTATTTTTAGATTACCTCACCAAGACGTTGAACTGCGTTCATTAGATCTAAATATAACTCGATCATGAACTAATACTCTGTGTGACTTGGTAAGCAGGACTACAGTAACCATTCTCTATTGTATAAAACTAATACAGACAAAAACAATTATAATGAAACTAACTTTTGCGTCTTGAAAAAGAATTGAAACGGAACAATTTCGTTTATAATTTATTACGGTTTAAACCGATAAATCAAGTAAAAATAGAAATCCTATTTATATAAACAAACTGGGATTACCGAAGTAACTAAAATAGCTTAGATTTCCGTAAAATTACTTCGTCTGATTCCGCAGTATGACGGACTCGCCCGAATTGTCACGATTGCAATCGGAACTACATCGGCTATTATCATTAAACCAAAGAGTGACGGAAAGGGCCGAAAAGTTGCGATTGGCACGATTGCAGCTGGTTTCCCGTTCAATCATGCACTAACAAATGTAAGCAGGAAACCACCTAACCGGAACAGCTTTTCCAAAACAGATGGCTTGCCAAAAAAGGTCGACAACAGAGAGCACAGGTATTGCATCTGTTCTGTGCTGTTCTCCTTCCGGACGGTCAAAGTGTTGTTTGTAATCTCGAACAGGGGTTCCACTTTGGCTAATTTACATAAGACACCTTAGAAGTTGTTTTTTTATTTTTTGCACCCCAATTAATGTTGTTCAATTCAGCGAATAAGACTCTAATTTTTGTACTCTATTTAATAGGGTATGGCAAAGCGTACTGGAATTTATTTATTCAACATTTTTATAAAACCTAAAATGTTCGATATTGTACAGTTCGTGCCATGACTCGTTCCTGTTACATCTAGGTGTTTATGGTGTTCTATAAAATTCAAGGGTTCATAATATTAATATAATTGTGGGTGATCAAATCAATATAATAAACAGTGATGATTTTATGAGACAACGACTGCAATGACTGGAATGATGTGTCTAACTGTGGCATTGTCAAGTGTACAAATCATAAATAACGATAATCATAACAAGCTGAATCACGATATCTTGACACATAATTATTTCAATATAATGATAGAATATCCTTAAACAAACTTTTGTCAGTCTTATCCGTAGTGATAAGTAATAGAAAGAGCACCGAAACACGAGGCTATCTGATTTGTACGAGGGGGCGTAGCCCCCGAGTATAAATCAGATTGCCGAGTGTTTTTGGTGTTCTTTCTCTTTTGTATCATAGTCAAACATAAAAACACGTTCCCTGTTGTCACAATTTTAAACCCCGGGAAAAAGTAACCAATGATCGAGCATCTGAATATGATATTTCTGTCGTTTTCCCTTTCTTCCGTCACAATATGTAAATTCCCCACCAAAAATGAGCCAATCAACGGGCATGATCTGGAGTGCGGGTAACTGATACCTGCACTCCAGTTACCGCACTGTGCATGTATATGTATACGATTTAACTCTGACACTTTTTCAACAGAAAGGTCCCCAAACTATGATACAATTACATTTGTACTATATACATATGGAACTAAAGTCAGACTTACTTAAATAAACCCGGGAAATCTATATTCATTAAGTCTCTGCAGTGTCTCTACATCATTGAATAATAGAAAAATATCTTTAAAGCAGCATGACACCGTATGTGTAATTGTAACTAACAAGGAAACATTTGTTGTAAGTGTTATGATAATCAGCTATGAAGCACATATATAGCATGTGTTATCATCTTGGAAACATTTAATTTAGTCTGTAATGAATTATTAATAGTATAGCGGATTAAAAATTGAGACAAACTATGACATCATTACAACATATAATATGTTATGACCGTTCAATAGAATACATAGTTACATACACAAACCACAATGTCGTATGTTCCGCTTTTCTAATGTGATAAGTAAATAGTTTTAAGTTGAGCATTATTTAAAGTAGAGAACATTTTGAGAAATCCTACGATAACATAAATTTCTGCACATTAAGTGGTTGACACTATCATAAGTAAAGCTATTTAAATACAAATCTTAATGAATAGGTGTGCTT